CATTTCACTCTTCATTATTTCGTGCAAGTCTTTCCATGTTTCCCTAAAATCAACCTGCTCATCATTTCTTACAGCACAGTAGTATTCCATCACAATCATGTACCACAACTTGTTTAGCCATTTCGCAATTGATGGGCATCCCCTCTATTTCCAATTCTTTGTCACCACAAAGAAAGCTGCTATAAATATTTTAGAACATATAGGTTCTTTTCCTATTTCCCTGATCACCTTGGGAAACAGATCTAATAGGGGTATTGCTGGGTCAAAGGGTATACATAATTTTATAACTCTTTGGTCGTAATTCCAAGTTGCTCTCCAAAATAGTTGAATCAGTTCACAATTCCACCAACAGTGTATTAGTGTCCTAATTTGTCCACCTCTCCTCCAGCATTTTCTCTTCTCATATTTTAGCCAATCTGATAGGTGTGAGAAAGTATCTCAAAGTTGTTTTAATTTGCATTTCCCTAATGGATAATGATTTAGAACATTTTTTTCATATGACTGTATATAGCTTTGATTTCATCTTCCAAAAACTATTTCATATCCTTTGACTATTTATCAACTGGGGAGTGACTCATTCTTATAAATTTCACTCAATTCTCTACATATTTGAGATATGAGAAACTGGCTATACATTTTCCCCCAATTTCTTATTTTCCTTCAAATCTTGTCTACATTGGTTTTATTTGTACAAAACCTTTTTAATTTAATGTAATCAAAATTATCTATTTTATATCCCACACTGCTCTTTATCTCTTATTTATTCATAAATTCTTCTCCTATCTATAAATCTGATAGGTAATATGTTCCAGGTTGTTCTAATTTACTTATGATCTCTCTCCCTTTATAGCTAGGTAATGTAGCCATTTTGACCTTATCTTGGTAAACAGTGTAAGATATCAGTCTAAATCTAGTTTCTGCCAGACTGCTTTCCAGTTTTCCCAGCAATTTTTACCAAATTGTGAGTTCTTATCCCAAAAGCTAAGAGTTTTACATTTATCAAATACTGGGTTACTATAGTCATTTACTAGTGTGTATTGTATACCTACTCTAGTTTACTGATCCACTATTCTATTTCTTTGCCAATGATAGTTTTGATAATTACCACCTTATATTATAGTTTAAGATCTGGTACTGCTAGACCTCCTTCCTTTACATTTTTTCCCCCATTACTTCCTTTGATATTTTTGATTCTAGCTCAATAAAATAATTTTTTGGTTGTTTAATTGGGATGTCACTGAATAAGTAGATTAGTCATTTTTATTGTATTAGCTCAGCCCACCCATAAACAATTAATATTTCTCTAATTATTTAAATCTGACTTTATTTGTATTAAAAATGCTTTATAAAAAAAAGAAAAAAAGAAAATGCTTTATAACTATGTTTATATGGTAACTGGATTTGTCTTGGCTGGCATACTCCTCAGTAGTTTATATTATATTATCTATGGTTATTTTAAATAAAATATCTTTTACTATCTCTTCTTTCAGGTCTTTGTTGGTGATACATAGAAATGCAGATTATTTATGTGGGTTTACTTTATATATTGTTACTTTGTTCAAATTATTGTTTCAAGTAATTTTTTAGTTGATTCTCTAGGATTTTCCAAGTATACCATTATAATATCTGTAAAAAAAATAGTTTTATTTCTTCATTGCCCATTCCAATTACTTCAATTTCTTTTTCTTCTCTTATTGTTATTGCTAGCATTTCTAGCACAATATTGAAGAATAGCAATGATAATGAACATCCTTGCTTCACTCCTTTGGGAAGGCTTCTAGCTTAATTTCATTACAGATAATGCTTGCTGGTGGTTTTTGGAAGATGCTTCTTATCATTTTAAGGAAAAGTCCATTTATACCTATGCTTTCAAGTGTTTTTTTTAATAGGAATGAGTATTGTATTTTGTCAAAAGCCTTTTCTGCATCTGTTGACATAATCATATGATTTTTCTTGATTTTGTTATTGATATTATCAATTATGTTAATAGATTTCCTTATACTGAACCAGCCCTGCATTCCTGGTATAAATCTCACTTGGTCACAATGTATAATCTTTGTGCTGTATTGCTTAGGATTTGCGCATCAATATTCATTAGTGAAAATGGTTTCTAAATTTCTTTCTCTGTTTTGGCTCTTCCTGGTTTAGGTATCAGCACCATACTTGTTCCATAAAAGGAGTTTGGTAGGACTCCTTTGCCTATTATTCCAAATAGTTTATTTAATATTGGAATTAGTTGATCTGTAAACATTTGGTAGAATTCACTTGTAAATCCATCTGGTCCTGATGCTTTTTTCTTAGGCAGCTCATTTGTGGCCTGTTCAATTTTTTTTCCCCTAAAATAAGTTTGTTTGGATACTTTATTTCCTCTTCTGTTAATCTGGGCAATTTATATCTTTGTAAGTATTCTTCCATTTCACTTAGATTTTTAAATTTCTTGGCATATAATTGAGCAAAATAGCTCCTACTAATTGCTTACATTTCAGCTTCATTAGTCAGCGCTGTATTCTCCCTTTTTATTTTTGATAACAAGTGATTTGGTTTTCTCCTCTATTTTTTTTAAACCATATTAGCTAGTGGTTTATCTAGTTTTGTTTTGGTTTTTTCCCCCCATAAAATCAGCTGTTAGTTTTATATGAGTACATTTTCTAGATTTATTTGGAGAAGTTTTGGGGAAGAGAGGGCAGGGAGCTTGCTCTCCTTATTTCTACTCTGACATCTTGGCTCTCTCTCTAATTTATGTTGTGATTTTTTTATATCTAAGTCAGAGGTGGAGAACCTGTGGTCTCGAGACCACACGTGGCCCTCTAGGTCCTCAAGTGTGGCCCTTTGACTGAATCTAAACTTCACAGAACAAATCCCCTTAATAAAAGGATTTGTTCTGTGAAACTTGGACTCAAGTCAAAAAGCTGCACCTGAGGACCTAGAGGGCCACAAGTGGCCTCTAGGCCGCAGGTTCCCCACCCCTGATCTAAGTCATGTGGTACTTATCTTGGTGCAAGGTATGAAGTGTTGGCCTAAACCTAACTTCTAGATTGCTTTCTATCTTCTCCAGCAGTTTGGGGTTTTGTTTTTGGTTTTTTGTTTGTTTGGGGTTTTTTTTGGTAGAGGTCAAATACTGAGTTCTTATCCCAATATATGGAGCATAAGGTTACTCTGGTAGCCTCAAGTCAAGTCAAAGCAACAAGCATATAGTATGTGCCAGGCACTGTGTTAAATTCTGAGTATACACAGAAAGGCAAAGACAGTCCTTGATCTCCAGGAGCTAACAGTATAATGGGGCGGGGGTGGGGGGCAGATGGAGACAAGATGAAAACTGTTATGTATGAACAAGGGCTAGATAAGTTAAATTCGTAATGATCTCGGGGCTAAGGCGCTGGCATTAATGGGGACTGGGAAAGACTTCTAGAAGGTAGGATTTTAGCTGAGACTTAAAGGAAGCCAGCAGACAGAGATGAGGAGGGAGAGGATTCCAGGTTTGGGGCCACCCCCTGAAGATGCCCAGAGTTGGGAGATGAGTGTCTTGCCCAGGCTGCAGTAAGAAGGCTAGTCACTAAATCACTAGAGTCACTGGAGTAAGGTGCAAAAAGACTGGGAAGAAGGAAGGGGCCAGGTTATGAAGGACTATAACAGCCAGAGGATTTTATATTTGATCCTGGAAGTAATAGGAAGCCATCGGAGTTTACTGAAAGGGGATGGGGGGAAGTAACATGGATAGGGTCCCAACTGAAAAAAACGACTGAACAATAAAAAAGATCACTTGGATAAATGAGTGGGAGATGGAGTGGGGAGAAACATGAGGCCAGACCAAGCAGAAGGTTATTGCAATAGTCCAGGTATGACATGACAAGGCCTGGACCAGGGTGGTGGCCGTGTAAGAGAGAAGGGGATGTATTGGAAGCTACTGCAAAGGTAGAACTTCAGACAGGATTTGGCTATAGGGTGAGTGTGAGTTGAAAATGACAACCCAGGTTTAGAACCTGGATGACTGGGAGGACGGTGGTACCTTGGTAATCAGGAAGTTAGGGTAAAGGTAGGGTAGATAATTAGTTATGGGGTTACAGCCCTATGAGTTAGGGCTAAGGTTAGACTTTTTTTATTTTGATTTATCAACAATCACTTCCATATGCTTTTAAGTTTAAAATTTTTCGTCCCCTTCCTGCCTAAGACTGCACAATCTGATATAGACTATACATTTACATTCCTATTAAACATATTTTCACATTAGTGAAGTTGTAAGTAAAAATTAAAATAAGGTTAGACTTCTATGGTACTTCCAGTTCAATATGTATCTAATCTGTCACTGATCAATGTTTTTTTAATTTGTACCAAATCTTTTTGATTACTGCTCTATAGTAGTTTGAGATCAGTTATTGCCAAGTCCCCTTCCTTCCCACTTCATTCATTATTCCCCATGTGTTTCTTGGCCTTTTGTTCTTCCAGATTTTTTCCTAACCCTAGTTTTACATTTCTCGGCCTTTTGTTCTTCCAGATTAATTTTTCCCTAACCCTAGTTTCACAAAATGGCAGTTCATTATCATACCAAAGAAACAGTCATTACCCCCCATGAACCAATTACTATTTCTCCACCTGTCTTTATTCCTTGGGAATCCACCTGCCAGCAGACACAGGAACTGAATGAATAAACTACCAGTTTATTCATTTTATACATCCTGTGGTTACTTCAGAATTTCTTCATGCTGGGGTGTTTGCAATAAACAGAAATGTTTATTTATATTGCTCTTTAGTATCCTACAATTTTATAGATTACTACATGTAATTCCTTATTTATTCCAGTTTTCTAGCTTTCAATGGAAATGGGTGTTATATTTTATCCAAGTCTTTTTGAAGACATGGTTAGTGACCATGGTTTTTATTTATTACCCCATGTAGGTAAGCAGATAATGCTAAGCATTCTGAAGACAGAAAACCCTTTATGTTCTGCTTCTCCTGGTTTCCTCCCCTTTGCCCTGGTGCCGCAAATGAGTCACACATAACCCTTTTTTTTTTGTAGAAGCCCTTTATTAGCAGAATTGCATCTTCAGAAAATTGTGAAGCCATTCACCTGGACCAGGTCTAGTTCCTAACAAAGGTTGGGCTTTCCCAAACACACAAATAACCGACAACTCTGAAGTTGCCAACACTTAATTTCCACCTCCCAACAAGGAACAAAGACGGCTTATTGTATGAAATAAGCAGGGGGTCAACAGGTTACTTCTCTGACTGTGAGTTTGATAAATGAGCACAGTCAGCTGCGCATAATCTGGCTGAGACAGCTCCTGATTAGCAGCACTGGTGGCTTACACTGAAGGCTTGCAAATCTTAGATCCCCACAACAACCCTGTGAGGTAGGTGCTCTCTTATAACTCCTTAGAACACAAAAACAAAACACAGAGAGGTTATTGTGACAGCTTGTTCAAGGCAGGGCTTGGTTCTTCTTGACATGAGTAACTTGTTTCATTATGATCTCTGCCTCTTAAGCATAACCTCAAACATACAAATGCTACACAGAGATGTAGATAACAGTAATTTAAACTATATCACAATACACTGTACCTGAACACATGGATGCAATTTATGAAAACATTTAGGGGCAAGACAAATTTAACAGTTTCTTGGGATTGGGTTTTTTTTTTTATGTCTGCATCTTGGCAGATAGCTTCCAAAATGGGAGGGCTGTAGTGATAATTTACTTCTTATTGGGAGCAATGAGGCGATTGAGTGATTGATGGATGGATGGATGGATTGATGGATGGCATGGTAAGGGGGGGGGAGATGGTCTTGATGTAGAATGTCTTTCATTGCCCTGGCCATTCTCTATAATCCGAGCTTGGTTCTTCTCCAGTGTCTCCTTTTCGAGTTGTACCTAGATGAGGAGAAAAGAGAAGAGAACAAAAGGCCAAGTTACTCAATAACTGCTTTCAGTAGAACTTTCAATTCAAGCCAATATCTTCATGGAAGAAATCCCATTTGAGTTGTTTTAATATTTCCATCATTTCTTTTTTATTTACTCCTGCAAAATTACCCTGCGGGGACGAATCATATAAATAAAAAACATTTAAATCAAAGCCTTCCCTTGTTTAAGCCTGCAGGATGGACTGATTGATATTCACCACTAATCAGGAGGGGCAGCTGGTCTTACCTGATCTTATTTCCAGTTTTCATTCGAATCCATTGAGGGATGGGACGATTCTGCTTCTGTTTCTTGGCCAGGAACCTCTTGATCCTGAATGTTTTATGAGAGGACTAACAAGGAAAAACATTGTTTAAAATGATCCGAAGCCAAGCCTTTTTCTATTCAGAGGGAAGGTGAGGGAGAAGCCCCGCCCACTTGGTCCCATTCACAATACGGCAGAGCAATTTATTCCGCAGCCTCTGCAGAATTGGGGGCGGGACAAGATGGCTGCAGGCATGCTGACGTCACAACCAACTGTCAAGCCATTTTCTTTTTTCCCCTTTTTCTTTTCTTTCTTTTTTCGTCAAGCCATTTTCAAAAACTAATCCAAGTCACAGGATTAAAAACCTGGAAAAGGACCTAGGTTAAGTAAACTGCGGCAAAAGTAAAATGAAATGACTAGACTTAGAGCACCTTTTAATTAGATGGAAAGACCATCTAATCCAATCCCCTTATTTTACAGACGAAGAAACTGACTTGCCCGAGATTACATAGAGATGGCATTTAAGAGCCAGATCCTCTGGCTATGCCGCGTGGCCGCCCTTTTAATCAGCAGGGAAAAGAGGCTACGGGCTTTTTTTTTGTTTGCTTGCCAAAGGGGAAAGACCCACCCTGTTTTCGAGGTTTAAAATGACTACCCACGGTCCCTCTCAGCTCTAAATCTACGTCCTTTTTATGCTCACTACCTCAAAGTCATAGCAATGTCATCCAAGGGACCATGGGAGGGACCTCTTTCTTTTCCTAACACAATTCCTCCTCCATTGGGGGGGGTCCAAGCCGCTCGGCTTAAGGCTTCGGCGTCCCTCGGGGATCCCCTCCGTGACTTCTCCTAACTCTCAGCTGTTCTAGATGGAGCCTAGAGAACCCTCCCTCCCTGACCGGGAACCTGGTTTCAAAGCTAGGGAGCAGGGGGGCAAAGGCAATCTCCATCTACGCAGCACCAAATGTGCTCGACTCCCCTTCGAAAGCTTCCTAAGAAGCTTCCCCGAATGCCCCTCGCTGCTGCTGCCCTGCCTCCGGGGCCCTTGGAGCTGCGGCTGGAGGGGATGGCTGCGGATTCTCTTACCATGATGATGAGATGACAGCCGAGCTTCCACCACGATGGCTGGACGGGCGAAAAAGGGAGAAAGACTGGCGGAAGCTCGCTATTAGAGGCTCTGCAGAGGGCGGAGCTAGGGGGAGCTGCGCCTGCGCATTGGCAATAGGCTGCGCCCTCTGCAGGTTCCCAGGGGGCACTGCGGCGCAGGAAAAGCGTCTTGTCTTAAGTCTCTCTGCAGTCCTCAGCCCACGGATACTCAGATCCCGCCTCCCATACTGCGGCTTTTTGGAGGTGACATCATCCTGTTCTTGTTTTTCTGCTTAGAGACTCTTTGCTGCAGTGCAGAGTTTTACCAGCCTTTTTTTCCCCCCCGCAGCCCACACTCCATTGTTTCCACTGTTTTTCTTAAAAAATAATTTTTATTGACATTTTTGGTTTTCTATCGTCTATTTCCCCCTGTATCCTTTTTCCCTCCCCCTTCCCAGAATATCCCTTATAACAAAGAATGTTTTGAAAACAGAAAAAGAGAGGAAAAAATCAGTAAAATTGATCAATAAACCGAAAAAAATCTGGTTATGTGTGATGTACCCATGGACCCCCCCCCCAATCTTTGCAAAGGATGTACCCCTAGGCTGCTTTCCAGGGAAGTTGCTTTATTTAATATGAGAGGAAATACATTCTAGAGCTTACTATACATGTTCATAGAAATAAAATAAAAGAGAAATTACTTTTTCTTTTCCAGGGGCATATACCAGCATTTTATAATTTTGCTGGTTTGGAAATCACATTTCTGGAATATTTCCATAGGAAAATGTAGTTATTAACCAAATATTCACCCAGACCTCTTGATAAATGTGGGGAGGGGGTGGTATTCTAGCCTTTGTAGTTGTTAGAATGCTGCATTTGGATTCAAGACCAAATCCTGTCTCAGGTACTTCCTGTGTGACCCTGGGGAGTCATTTACTCTTTTCTGGGCCTCAGTGCCCTCATCTGTAAAAAGACAATAACGCCTGCAGCACTACCAGAAAAGAGCGGCAAATGAAATGACATAAAAATGATAATCTTGCTGTTATTATTCATCAGGATCTTCTGTTGAATTGAGGTTGATCCTTTGAGGCTGCACCACGGCTTCTAAGTAAGCAGTATCTATTTGTTGGCACAGGGGCTGAGACATTTGCCTATACCCTAAAATGGCACCTGCTGCTTTTTTTTTGTTTGTTTTTATTTTTCCAGATTTTGTTAATTTATTTCTTTTTAGTTTTCAACATTCACTTCCACAAGATTTTGAGTTCCAAATTTTCTCCCCATCTTGTCCCTCCCCCCACCCCAAGATAGCATTCATTCTGAACACCCCTTCCCCTAATCAGCCCTCCTTTCTATCTCACCACCACCACCCTTATCCCCTTCCTCTTCTATTTTCCTATAGGGCATGATAGATTTCTATACCCCACACCTGCTGCTTTTTTAAAAAATGTAAAATAAACTGCCTGGGAGGTAGTACGGTTGAAAGAGCCACAGCTATGGATTCAGAAAAGCTGGAATGACGTCACCTCTGCTGCTTACTACATGTATCTTTCTGACCATGGGTGAGCTTACAAACTTCCCTGTTTCCCCCTGTGTAAAATGAAGGGGTTGGACTAGACAGCATCTGAAATCCTTTCCAGCTCTAGACCTAAGATCCTGTGTGTGACCTTGGATAGGTCACTTCCCCTCTCTTGGCCTCAGTTTCCTCCTCTGTAAAATGAAGGGTTTGGACTAGACAGCATCTGAGATCCTTTCCAGCTCTAGGCCTAAGATCCTGTGTGTGACCTTGGACAAATCACTTCCCTTCCCTGAGGCCTCAGTTTCCTCAGCTGTTAAAAAGAATGTGTGGGGGCAGTAACAGCCACAATGTGTGATAACTTTGACAGACACATCTCCTCTCAGCAATGCAAGGATCCAAGACAACTCCAAAGGACTCTTGATGGAAAATGCTATCTACATCCAGAAAAAGAACTATGGAGTCTGAATGTAGATCGAAACACCTTATTTGCGCTCTCTCTCTCTCTCTCTCTCTCTCTCTCTCTCTCTTTTTTGTTTGTTTCTTCTTTCTTGTGGTTTCTCTCATTGGTTCTAATTCTTCTATACATCATGACTAATGTGAAAATAGGTTTAATATGAATGTATATGTACAACCTATATCAGATTGCATGCCATATTAGGGGAGAGTGGAGAGATGGTGAGAAAATTTGGAACTCAAAATCTTATGGAAGAGAATGTTAAAAACTAAAAATTAATTAATTAAAAGAATTTTTTTTTTTAAAAAAGGGTGTGTGTGGGAGTGGGAGACTAGATGGCCTGAGGCCTCTTGCAATTCTAGATCCATTTGGATCAAGGTTGGTCCTGGAGAAGAGTTGAGCAAATGTGACTCCTCTTGTTTGCAGATGTTGGGGCACTATGGATGTGGAATGTGGACTTTGCTTTGCTTGACTTTGCACATTTGGTACAAGGGCTATTTTTTTCTTTTTTCAGTTTGGAGGGGAAGGTGGAAAGGAAAAAGGTGGGAATAGGGTTACCAAAAGACAAAGAAAGAAAAGAGGGTCATGAAGTCTTTTTAAATCACAGAACCACAGACAAGTAGCTTTTCAAGTTGTTTATCCAATTTATTATATACTGGAAAAAGAAAAAAAAACAATCTGATAGGGATTTGCTCTTTCACAGCCAATCTTTTATTTCTGTTCTACTTTGTATGTGTGTGTGTGTGTGTGTATGTGTGTGTGGCAATTGGGGGTTAAGTGACCTGCCTAGGGTCACACAGCTAGTGTCAAGTGGTCTGGGGCCAGATTTGAACTCAGGTCCTCCTGATTCCAGGGCTAGTGCTCTATCCACTGCACCACCTAGCTGCCCCCTCTGTTATACTTTTAATGTGGAAGTACTCATTTTATTTGGTATTGAAGTTCAGAATTTTAAAAGTTTTTATTTTTTAATTTTTGCAAGGCAATTGGGGTTAAGTGACTTGCCCAGGGTCACATAGCTAGTGAGTATCATGTGTCTGAGGCTGCATTTGAACTCAGATCCTCCTGACTCCAGGGCCAGTGCTCTATCCACTGCACCATCTAGCTGCCCCTAAAAAGGTTTTAAAAAGAGAAAAGAAATGAGGGTCATGCAAAAACAAAAGTCATCAGTATTGCTGGTTCCAGAGTAGTATAACCCCACTGAATAGGGTTTCTGCACTTCTAAGAGCAGTGTGTGCTTTTAGCTACAAATTCTCCATTCTGGATGTTTTCTTTGCCTGTTTATGACTGAGCTAGTGAATAACAGACAGGCAGAATATTGTGCATGGAGTCAAAAGATGTGGCCTCCTCTCCTACCTGTGACTGTGTCACCTCTTCAAGCCCTAATTGGCTCCTCTACAAAATGGAGGCATGGGACCAAATGATCTCTAAGGGACAGAAGGCCAGCCAGAGTCACAAGCAGGACAACTCTGAAAACAATGTGTTAGATTTATTACTTATAAAAATGCAATAGTGTATGTAACAGATTTGTGATTTCCTGTATTATTTTTTCTGATCTTTCTATATGGAAATGTTCGTGTGTGGATGACTTTCAAGTTCGGAGTGATAAAAAGTAAAAATTGTTTTTAAAATATCTCTGAGGTTCCTCAAACCATTCTTTTTTTCATCATTTTATCTTGATCTCTGCCCCTTCATCAGCAGTGAAGACTTTTTAAATACCTCAAAGCTTTCATGGCTTCTACCATTGAACAAATAAGTTGAGAAGATGCAAACTTGTGTTACCTGGACAACTTTTTGCCCTCGATGATATCACGACTTATGTGTAAGATGTGACACGAGAAATCCCTGAAGTGTATGATCAGAACAGGAGGCCGTCCCTCCTCTTCTTGCAGAGGTCAGGGACTAGGCATGTGGAGCGTTGCAGAAATTGTCAGACATGGTTGATCCACTAACCCAGTTATATCTGTTGAACTTCTTTTTCGCTTTTTTTTTGGGGGGGGAGGGTTGTTTTTGTTATATGACTGGCTGCATATATTCAGAAATTAGGGGAAGTATATAAAAACAGAAGATATCAATAAAAATAAGATTTATTTTTCAAGGAAGTGAACTGCTCACGGAGCAAGATGATAACAGGACAGGCTGAGTTCTAGACTGGCCCTCACCCAATCTAGAAGGCCCTGAGGAAGACTACCAACATATTATGCAGTGCCCAGAGGCATGAACCAGAGATGAACAGGACCAGGCATGGATGGAAGGGCTGCTATCTGTACCAGTGGAGGAAATACTCACATTGATGACATCTCAGACCCGCTGAGGTGTCAAAGCATAATATTAAGGTACATTTTCAGACAAGAGATATCAAGAGAGATCAGGAAAAGTGCTGGCCAGTTCAACTTGGAAGACTGTCACTTACTGGCCATGACCTTTGAGGAGTTAATTCCCCTCTCTAGGCCTTAGTTTCTTAGCTAATAATAAAATGGAAACACTGCTACCAGCAGTGCTCTATATCTTTAAGTTGGTCAGACTTCCCTGAGGTAATGGAAGTAATCCACCTGTAGAATTGTAAAGCACCAGATAAATGTGCTAAGGTTGCTAGGGTGAGTGCAATAAGGCAGTCAATCAGAAGACAAGATCGGTTTGCATTATCTATCCCCAAGTGAGTTGTAAGCTCCCTGAGGGAAAACAGCATCTTGGTTTTTTGTATAGCTGCCTCCCAACATCTGGACCCAAGGCTCTGAGAACAGAGGACACTCTTCAATGTTCCCTGATGGGCAACTGGTTGGATGCTTCCCAATGAGTAGAGCTTTCAGGCTAAAGTGTATGAAGGGATCATGGGCTCAGAGATCTTGGAGGTCCAGTCCAAACCCATCACTTTACAGATGAGGGAATGGAAGGCCTGAGAAATGAAGTGATTTGTCCAGGGTCAAACAGCTAGTGTCTGAGGCAGGATTTGAACTCAGGTCCTCTTGACTCCACAAGCAGCTAGGTGGCACAGTGAGGCTAGAATGCTGGACCTGGAGTCAGGAAGACCCATCTTCTTGAGTTCAAATCCAGCCTCTGACACTAGTCATGTGACCCTGGGCAAGTCACTTCGCCCTGTGGGCCTCTGTTTCCCCATCTGTAAAATGAGCCACAGAAGGAAGTGGCAAACTGCTCCAGTATTTCTGCCAAGAAAACCCCAAATGAGGTAACTAAGACTCAGATACAACAGTATAGTTTTGAGATTCTCTTGATGCCAAGTCAGTGCCATAGCCACTATGCCACCCTGGTTGGGGATGAAGGGGGCTGGAGGCTCAAAATCTTTGTAGTCCCACTCAGGGATGTTGGGAGGGGAGCTCGTGGTAAAGTTGGAAGCACTATGGATGTGGTTGGAACTATTATTATTACTCTTATTGCTAGGTGTCAAGGTGGCTGGCTTCTTGCCTTTCCTTATTTAAAAAAACCAAAACTTGGAAGGCTCTTGGAAGACTCAGATGACCGAGGAGTGAGGTAAACAGAACAGGGAAAGCAAATACAGTGATTATAACAGTGTAAATGGGGGTGGGGGGGTAAACCCAATAAAATAAAAACAAATGCTGTGATTATGATGTGCAAAAAGAGATGAGCAAAATGTTCCTCCCTCTCTTCTTGGGAGATATGAGGTGAAGACAACTGCATATAACATCAGATTTGGTCAATAAGATTTTTTAGTTTTCCTAAACTGCTTCCCATCTCTGCCTTTCTTCTGTATTCTTTGTTACAAGAAAGGGCAGAATAGAGGCAGATACATTTGCAAAGTGATATGAGAAATTAATATTAATAACTATCATTGCCGCATTGTGGTCTAAAACTCTCTATGGAACTCTGGGCCTCTCTGGCAGCTTGGGGCCCCCTGCCTTTGCTCTGGAGCCATCCTTAACTCTTCCCATCCACTTCTGCCCTTTTCCCTGAAAGCTTCTGTACCCCTTCTGGAAATCTGAACCACATGGTCCAGGACTCTTACCAGAACCAATCTCCATATAGTCTGTCTGCCTGTGACATTAGAAATGGAAGTCCACAGACCCAGTACTCTCATACCCCCCATGACCTTTGCTACTCTTCTTCAGGATGCCATGTTGTAAGTGGGACAGGATCTTGGTAGTCAAGCACGTGCTCATTCACTAAAGACCTGGCCAAACTGTTATTACCCATCTCTTCTTTGGTTTAACAGTAAATGCATCTACTCCCTTTCCTTCCACTTTCCTCTTTACTCTGTTCAGTCTGATTTCTGACCTCTGACCTTTTCAACTCCAAACTTACCAATGATCTCTTATTTGTCCAATCAATTGGCCTTTTCTCAATTCTTAATCTCTCTGCAGCCTTTCACACAGTCAGTCACCCTCTCCTCCTTGCTAGTCTCTTATCTCTAGACTTTTGGGGTACTGCTCTTAACCCGATTCTCCTCCTACCCGACAGCTCCTTCTCAGTTTCCTTTGCTGGGTCTTCATCCAGGTCACGTCTGCTAACTATGAGTGTCCCACAGAGCTCTATCCTGGCTCTCTTTTCTTTTGGCTACACACTATTTCACTTGGTAGATCTCATTTGCTCTCATGGATTCAATGATCATCTCTAAGCTAATGATTTTCAAATCTATATAACCATCCCTAACCTATCTGCCAACTTCAAGTCTTACACCTCCAATTGCCTCTTGGACATCTCAGACTGGATGCCCCATAGACATCTTAAACTTAACATGTCTAAAACTGAACTTATTTTATCTCCCCCCCAAATCCTCCCCTTCTTCCAAATTTCCCTGTTACTATGGAGGGTACCACCAGCTTCCTGAGCTGCCAGGCTCAAAATCTAGGTGCTATTTTCAACTCCAAAGGAGCTCTCTCACTTCCCCCCACATCCAATATGCTGTCAAGTCTTGTCATTTCTACCATCACGACTTCTCTCCTACACTTCCCCCTTCCTTCCTGACACTGCCACCACCTTGGTCCTTACTACTTCAATCCTGCAGCTCAGTCTGCCCGCTACAAGCCTGTTCTCACTCGGTGGCCAGTGATCATCCTAAAGTATACGTCTGACTGAGTTACATGTCTCACACCCCCCCCCCAATAAACTCCTTTGGCTTTCTATCACCTCCAGGACCAAATATAAAATCCTCTGGCATTTAAAACCCTTCATAACCCGCCTCCGCCTTGACCTTTCCAGTCTTTACATCTCATACGCCCCCCAACACACACACAGTGACCCAGTGACATTGGCCTCCTTGCACAGGACACTCCATCTCCCCACTGCAGGCATTTTTACCGGCTGTCTCCCGTGCCTAAAATCCTCTTCCCTCATCTCTGCTTCCTGACTTCTCTGGCTTGAAGTCCCAGCTAAAATCCCATTTTCTATAGGCTTTCTGGATCCCTCTTAACCCTAAAGCCTTCCCCTCTCTTGCTTATTTACAATAGATCCTACAGAGATTTTGTTTGTACTTAGTTGTTTTCATGTAGTCTCCTTTAGACTTCAAGCTCCCTGAGGACAGGCTTGTCTTTTGCTTTCTTTGTATCCCCAGGACCTGGCACAAAGCCTGATTCCTAGAAGGTGCTTGACATATGTAACAATGGTCTTTCCCTCATCCTATCCAAAGTGGGCTGGAGAAGTCAGGACTCACAGGAAATGAAATCCAAGGCTTCAACGCTATAGGGAATTCATTCCCAGGTGAGGAAACTCTCCCTACCATCACAGGTCAGTACCTTGTCTTCAGTCTATAGCTTTAAAGCTGTTTTGCTAACTTAGGAGGCTAGCTCTCTCTCCACTAGGCCATGTCACCTCTCCAATATGATCTCACCTAGCCCTTTGAATTCCTTTTAAGCATTAATATTACAAATCAGAAGAGGAGGCACATTTTTTCCCCTAGATTATAGACTTCTTCAGGGAAGGGAAGGGCCTCCTCCCTGCTGTATTTTTCCTAAGCTCTGGCACACAAAGCAGGGTAACTAAATGGTTTTTTTTAACGGAATTACAACTAAAATCTACTTTAAACTTTGTAAATGTACTTCAAAACAGCCTTCAGGGGTTGCTGTCTGGTCAGATCTTTATTGATATCTGTACAAAATAATGAAGACTGAAAGCTCCTATGATAAAAGGTGACCACAGATGGTAGTGACCGTTGTGCCTGGGAAAGGGAATGTACTCGTGCCATAAGGAGTTAAGATGAAGCAATGATGGAAATGACACATTTTGGAGGGCTGAATTTGGGGATAATTCTGTTCGGAAAAAAAAAGAAATGCTTGAAATATTCTCATATGCTAACCTATATTCAAATAAAAGCCAGCGTTTCCGTACGCAAGATGTAGACATTATTTGACTATGGCTGGTATGTCAACCAAAACATCTGTTCATAGGAAGTAGTCTGATATCTTTTTCAGGGCCTAAAGTAATAGGATGCTTTCTGTTTCTAGCCGATTCCAATTTAGTAATTAATACCAATGATACAACGTGTCTAAGGTGAAGCCAGTCTTCCTTCAAAGATAGCTCAATACGCCTCAGATGAAAGCATTCTCAGCTTTGCTGACCAAAACCTTTCAACATCAGCTACGGGCTTCCAACCTTTAGCACACAGATGTGCCATGATTAAGGCCACAGAAGACATTTCCACATTCAAGCAAACCTCAAATCAAGTAAACCTCAAATTATTTTCCTCATTGTTATCTGAAAACCCTAAAATTAAATTCCAATAGCTGCATAGTAAGAATCGCCTCCAATTTGGCCTCTTGAACAAAGATTTCTGATTTTGCCCCCCCTATCATGCTCATCTGAAAGGCAGCCCCACCAGCACCTGGCCCCTCTGAGATTTTTTCTCTCTATTCCTCCTTTTGGAAGGCACTGCTAGACTGCTGCATTCCTGCTCTTTGGCTGTCTGCACAGTCAGAACAGTTAAGCTATCTGGGCCCATCATTCCTCTTCTTTCCTATTATTGTTCTCATTCTCTTGCTTTTTATCTGGAGCTGGCTCTGCAGATTTCAAAGGGCTGTCTTCGTAGGGTCCCAGGCGATTCCGGCTCCGGGCACCTGGCTGGTAGAGTTGCATTGCTGGGCGGTCCTAAAGAGAAGCGTGAGACGCATTAGTGGGCTACAGTTGACCTGAAAGTTGCTTTTGGCCCTTTTCGTAGCTTTTTGAATGTCCTAAGCACCATATACTGTGTCAGTGGTAGTAAAACTTCAGTGGCACCAACAACCAGGATTGCAGATTTCCCAAAGCTCAAAATTTGAGTGCATGGTCCAATAGTCAACCTTGACTGGGATTTTGCTTGCAAAATCCAAAATGAAAGATCATTTTCAGAAGCACTACACTGCATTCCTAGCTACCCAAGACACACATATACATACACACTCCAAATCATCTGTCCAAATTTCAGGACCATCTGAAAACGAACTCAACCGACCTAAAATGTTTCAGTTCAGGAACCACACCCACTACCTACCTCTTTCCAGCTACAATTAAAAAAAAAAAAAGAACCCCCAAAACCTTTAGCAAGCAGTTTCAGAGGAGGAAAAGACAAAATCAAAAACATCTGTCAGTGCAGATGACTCTTCCAAGAGCTCATTTTTGAGATTATAAAAGACAAACATATGAACTTTGCTTAGTGCTGATCTATCCTGAAGTCATGATCTCAGACCGCTGTAACCCTGTTAAAACACAACCAGCAAGATAAAAGGCCAACAATGTAACACTCAGATGAGAGGCTCTATGCCCGCCGCATGCTGGAACCCAGATTTGATAAAGCCATTCTGTACGATATGTTTGATTCATGACTTAATTTGATTCTTGGAAATTCTAATTCAAACCATATAATCTGAGAATTGGTTGGGGCCCCAGAGGCCATCCACTTTAACCCTTACCTGAGAAGGTACTCCTTCTACAACATCTCTAACAAGAAAGCGATCAATCTCTACTTTAAGACTGCCAGTGATGAGCAACTCACTACCACCGGATGTAGCCCATTCCACAGCTCTAATTGTTAAGATTTTTTCCCCCCGACACAGAAGCTAAGCAGACCTTGCTCCACCCCCACCGACACTCCTACTTCTGCCCTCTGAAGCCAAGCAGAATGATTCTTCTTCTAAACAGCAACCCTTCAAATACTTGAAAACAGCTGTCATACTAGGTCCCCCTCAAAGAGCCTTTTTCCATCAGACAACCCCAAACACCAGGAGTTCTTGCACACCCTCTCCCCGAGTGATAGAACAAATGTTACCATGGGAAGCGTCACTCCTTTGGGCCTACTTCCAAGCACACATTTCTGCAGTACTTCAAAATAGGAGGCTTCACAAAAGGAGACGGCCAGATGAGCACCCTGCTTAGCGTTCCAAGGAGTTTGTGCTAGAAGATAACTTTGCTCTAAAAACCATCCACCAGAAGGCTCAGTGTCCAAGGTTTTTTAGTGGCCTTGTTTTATTTTTAGGGAAATTTCACTCCCAAGATGGCTCTTCCCGTTTTAGATTTCACCAACCTAACTTATCTTTCCTCGTCAAGACAAGCCGTGGATAAGCCATTTGTTTAAAGCGGCCATTGAGAAACTTAGGTTTCAAAAGAACAAGAAATAAAACTAATAATCCTTTTTTTTTTTAGTTTCTAGCGTTTCTTAAAAAAAAAAACAAACCACCAAACCACCTTATGAAAATAAACAAATTTAAAGAAAAGTAGCACCTTGTTTCTTATGCGATCTCTTTTCGCTGCATCTTCTTTTCTGTCCTCTTTGGTCATTCTGTCTGAGTTGCCTATTAAATCTGTACCATCATGCCTCTTTCCTTTGTCCCTAAGTAGATCTCTTTCCTTTTTCATTTCTTCTTCTTTTCTTCTAAAGGTCTTCTCTTTCTCAAAGCGTTCCTTTTGCCTCCTTTTGTCTTCTTCCTGCCGCCTCAGTTTCTCCTTCTCTCGTTGCTGCCTCTCTCGCTCCTTGTCTCTTTCATAGTCCTTGTCCCTCTCCCTGTAGTCTTTGCCACCCTCATCTTCAGATCTGCATGGAAAACAAATCTGAGAATGAACCCTCAGCGTTCCGGGCATCACAAGCGAAAGACACACTGTGCTTTCGACTTGGCTATCGAAATGAAGCTACCTAGGAAAAAAAAAAAGGCCACAAGAGCAGTGCTGCAATTGGCCACATGTCGTGACCCTGCGTTTGGGTCAAGCTCCTCTGGAAAGCTGCCCTGAGACACATGACAAGGAGCATTTTGGACCCTCCTCCCCACCATTTAATTAGAAACAGTAGCTGATCTTCATTCATCGCCAAAGCCAGGACAGAGCAACCAGCGCCATTAGCACCCTTGCATAGAGGAGCCACTTAACTGTTTGTAGAATTCAATTCAATGCTGCAGAGACAAGTCTAGACAAGGAGACATGCTGGTGAGCCCTAGAATACTAACTTCTTGGCCTTCTCTTCTTTTGTCTCCCCATCAGAACGCTTGGCCGCGGCACTACTCTGCCCACTGGTTTTTTCCTCATTCAGATTCTCTTTGTCCAATCTCTTGGATTTTTCCCTTTTTTCCAATTCTTTTTCATCTCCTCTTTCTGGCTTCTTGAGCAGCTTGAAAAAGAACAAGTTTATTTTCATTTTGAGGGGTAGAGAGGAAGTGTTCCTTTAAAAAAAATACCTCAAGAAAATTATACTCTGGCCCATCTAAGCCTTAGATCACTCACAGTGGCTCCCTTCTAGTTCCCCACTCCGAAAATGAAGTGAGGTGCACTTCATTTCCCACGGTAACAGATAGTGCACAGAGAAAGGTAAGTTACTAAAGAGGCGAGACCAGCGTCCACACGTCACCCACTCACTGCAATCAGGCAGCTTTGTACTGAGAGGATCACGACTCTTCAGTTTTAGAAAGGCCAATGCACAATTCCAAGCATGTTGTCCATAGCAAAGTAGCGTAGCTATTGCGGTTGGTGCTGCTTTGTGGCAGAATACGTCATGAACCTAAACATGCCAGATGGGGGTGGGGTGCTGCTGGGGTTTGAGTTGGGTTAACGCTCCGAGTGACAAATAACCTCTGTCACTGCACGACTGATCCACCTCGAAGAAATAATTTTTGCTTGAGGCCTTTTGCTGTGTTGTGTTGAATGGTTAAGAACCATCCAGCAGCTGGTTAATAAAGCCAAACACCTCATATGGCACTAGGCAGGTATGAGCTCTAAGATTCCCAGTGTGTAAACAAAACCCCTCTCTGTCCCCAGTCACCACTAGGAAACTCTCCAAAATACGCCCCAAGTGATGGATAGCATCAAGGTATAGTCTTATGGAAAACATAAGAACTCCCAAGTCTTAGGACGAAGGCTTCATGCAGCGCTATGTCACTGAGCGAAGGGTATGATAGCATAGCACACACTGAAGCAGGAGCTAATTAAGCAGAAACAAACAAGTTCCCTGCAAAGGGCTAAGGTCCAATCTGAACAGCAAGACAGGCAAAGCATCATCCTAGGTGGTCCACAGTGTATGGTCTTCTTAGCTCTCCAATAAGCATCTTCTTAGAAGAGGAGTTGATGGCGCATTAGAAGTACTCTTAACTTAATAAATGTGTCTCCTGCTTATGGGTAGCTGCCTTGTTGGAAAGAGGCAGGAAAAGCGCAAGTCATGGCTAAGGCGGCAGGCACAGGGTGTGTATGAGACAGGAGACTGAAAAGAAGCCCGAGGATCTGAATGAGCTAGGGGCCCTAGTGATGGAGGGGACTCCAGCAGCAAGAGAAGCAAAAGGGGTGGTGGGGGGGGCAGGGGGTATACTAAGTAATGCCTGGCCTCCCACCTATGAGTAGAGTAGGGACTTCTTCCTGCTTGGGCACCAATTGTCCCCCTTTTCCCAAAATGTCAGAGAATAAATACTCCATAAAGCTTGGCAAAGCAAAAGCTTCACCAAACCCTGATCCAGAGGGGGAGCTAGCAGGGCCTAGTGATAGCTCCTTCCTTGAGGAGGGGTCCCAGGCACGTGTGACTGGGAGCTGCTGGCTGGCTGGCTGGCTACGGAGTCCTGTGCACGAGGATGGAGGAAACACGGATAAAAGAGGGAGCAGAATGCCATGCAGGCCCATCATCCTCAGTGGCCCCTAGGTAACCGGGTTAGCCTGCAGACAGTGGAGGCAGAATGAAGGAGAGGGAATCAAACAGCTCCCCTTCCTACACAAGTTATGGATACGCAGCAAAGAGGAGTCAGTGGGCCTGAGGCTTGTCATTTTGCCCCCCAACCCCCAGGACTTAGAGGAGGGTGTTTCCACCACTAACCCTGGCACCCAAAATACTTGGTAAGACCTGGCCATGGGATAAAGTACCAGGTTCTATGTGCTCTGCTGTGCTGGGCCTCAACACTTTGGTGATCTGCGGTTTCTAACCTGTGTATCAGAAGACAGTGGGAAAACGCACAGACAAGCCAACCTGATTGAGTGTCAGTGTGAAGGAAAACATGGAGAAAGGTCTACTGTCCCCTAGCCAAGCAGAAGGCCTTATCTACTAAGAAAAGGAAACTAGGAGAAATCCAATAATGGAGCAAGTTAGATGGCAAAAATAAACCAAAAAAAAGGATAAAATTTGAAATGACAAATTAAATGGTATGAGAGGTGCTGATTAATGCTCTCAAGGGCTTCCCACTTCTCAAAGTAAAAGGATAGTGTTGGAGGAAAAAAGCTTGCTTTATTGGTTTGCCACAAGAAACTTTATTTCATCTACACCGACACTCAATACACGGACACTCCATACATGTTTCGGGAAGTTGTTCCATGCGACTTTTCTGCAACATGGATTTCATACCTTAATCTTTGGTTCATCCTTTGATCTATCCCTCTCTTTTTCTGGACCTCTTTCAATCTTCTTTATCTTGTCCGTATCCTTTCTTTTTCTTCTCTCTTCTTCCTTCCATTTTCTCCGTTCTTCTTCTCTTTGCCTTTTTCTCTCAATCTCTCTCCGCCGTCTCTCTTCTCTCTTTTCTTCCCTCATCCTCTGCAAACAGAGAAGAGGATTCAAAGCCTTTTAAACAAGATGGCCACCACCAAAAAGCCTCAAGCAGTCACAAAGCATGCTGGGTACCCTACGTCTAGCAAAGGCAACGTCCATTCTGTACCCTGTCTACAAAGTCCAACTCTGCCTTCCTACAGAAAGGAGAGGTGCCCCAGCAAGGCCAAATCTCCTGCAGCTGATTAAACTCGGCTTTACCAATGGCTTTCAAGAAGACAAAGGGCATCCAGGAACTGGATGCAGTTTGCATTTAAATGGCCCTTGGAGGTTTACAAAGCACTTTACATCCATTTTTGCATTTTATCTCCCCAGCATCTCCACAATCAAAGCTAAGGAGATGGGCCAAGGGCCAAGACAATAGGACTAGATTCTCCCTACTCCAGGGCCCAAGTGGCTAGGAACAACCACAAACATACACTAGGAAAGTACCCCCTCCACCCTTTTCCAGTGTAAATGAGATCAAATTTATTAAGATAACTCCATTATTACATTTCTCACCTGTTTATTTTTCAAGAAGTTCAAAAGGGGAGTTGTCTTCTTGGCTACATAAATATAAGGGGAAAAAATCCAGTGTCAATTACAAACCTAGAAAGAACTTTCTTCTGACCTCCAGGGCCAGGAAATTTATTGACTTTAAAGGAAAATCTCTAACGTATCAGAAGAAAGTTAGTAGTAAAAACAATTCCTACATTTGTCCAGCACCTCGTAGCTTATTAAGAGCTCTTATACAGAGATCGGCTCTGGGCTTTCAAAAGGGGACCTGGCATTTATTTAAGGTCAGGGGCATTATACTGGGGTGAAAGCCTCCTCCTTCAGCAACAGCCATATAATGTGAATGAAGCCAGCCAACCTTCAAGAAGGAATTTCAGTTATACCTAGACTTTTAAGGCAAATGTTTTTGGTTTTATGATAAGGCCAAAGAAAAAGCAAATGGTTCGTTATAAGGCTTTTATTTCCCATCACCCAACTAGTAAATGTTTATTAAGTGCCTTCTGTGCGCCAGGCCTTGCACCAAGCGCTAGAGATACAAAGAAAAGCAAAAAAAAAAAAAGCCTCTGTGCTCATGGAGCTCACATCTGATTGGTGAGGGAGAGAGAAAACCAGCAAGGTATAGGCAGATACAAAATAAACACCAGGTAATTAATTTGGGTGGGGGGAGACAGTGAGGAAGAATCAGGAAAGGCTTCACATATAGAAGCCTTATGCTGAGTTTGGAAGCAAATTAGATCCCAAAAGGCCAAAGTGAGGGAGTACATTCTAGGCACAGGGCACGGCTGTGCAAAGGTGTGGAGGTGGGAGAAGAGTGTCACATATGAGAAACCGAGGAAAGGCTAGCCTGGCTGGAATGCAGAGTTCAAGAGTAGAGCAAAACTAGGCTGGAAAAGTTGGGTGGAACCAGGTTTCAAAAAGCTTTAAAAGCCAAACAGATGAATTTGGATTCTAGCTTAAAGATAAAAGGGAACCACTGTGGAGTTTACTGAGTTGGGGAGTTACATAGTTAGACCTGGGCTTAAGGAGAATCATTTTGGCAGCTGAGAAGGGAATTGGACTGGAGAAAGACTTGAAGAAGGAACATCGAGTAAGAAGCTACTGCCCAGGTAAGAAGGGATGAGGGCCTGAACAAGGTTGGTGGCTATGGGAGTGGAGAGAAGGGGATAGATTAGAGATACGTCAGAGAGGTAGAAACAACAAAACTTGGCAACTGACTGGACAGGAGGCGAGGAAGGGTGAGTCATCCAGGGTGCCACAGACTGTGAGCCTATGTTAGTCCCTCCAACAGAATTAGTTCTATCTTCGACATGTTGAGTTTGAGATGCTATGGGACTCTTCAGTTGGAAATGGTCAATGGGCAGTTGGTGATGCAGGATTGGGGTTTGAGGGAAAAGACAGGTCTGGATAAAAGGAACTGGGAACCATCTGCACAGATCATTATTGAACCCATAGAAGCTGATGAGATCACCAAGGTCAATGGTATACAGGGAGAAGAGAATAGGGCCTGGCATGTAGTTATGTATAATATTTTAGCTAGAAATACTCATTTGTAAGTAGCAGAAAACACCCAAATATCTTCAAAAACTTACCAGAAATTCAAAGGTCCTAAAACTTACAATTCTTAAACCTCTATACCCCAAGAAGATATAAAATAGAAAGGCCCCAAAATATACAAAGGTTTTCATAGCAGCTCTTTTTGTGACAGCAAAAAACTGGAAACAAAGTAGGTGCCCATTGATTGGAGAACAGCTGAGAACCGGCTGAACAAAGTGTGATCTATGAATACAATGGAATGTTATTCCACTAAAAGAAATAACAAATATGAGGAATACAGAGAAACACAGGAAGACTTGTATGAACTGAGGAAGACTGAAGAGAAAACAAGGTAAGACAATGACCACAATCATGTACATGTACACCACATCACTGGGTGATCGGAATAATGAATCATAGTCCCAAGAGAAGAGACTTTAGGGTAGGAAGGTGGAGGATTATGGGTATATAATGCCATATACACTGTCAAATGTGCTTTATTTAACTCTTATCCAAAGGTGACTGATAGAAAAAGTGAAAGGCATTGGTAATGCTGATTTCAAAGACACAGTCCCAAGATTGGCACTTACCATTTGTTTAGAGAACAGTGGCATGTTCGTAATGAACAATATCATAAAATTTAATAAAAATCATGACCCTTTAAAGAGGCACACATTACCTTAGGAGCCTTCTCTCTTGCCCTCCCTCCCCCCTTACCTATCAGCTCTTTATTTCTCGCTTCTATTTCTTCTAACAGAGTCTCCGGAGTGGACGTCAGTTTCTCTTCCTCTGCACAATAACTCTCCAAAAATTTCTTGTACTCAGGGTCTAAATATGGAATTGAGGAAGTAAGCGTGGCAGCCTTTTGGTGGCAGACTGCATACAAGTCTGTGAGAGAGACTCCCTCACTACTTTATGCAAACTTCACTCTGGATTTCCCCCCCCCCCAAAGGAGAGGACAAAGAAAAGACCATTTGAGATTTTCTTGCTTTGGCTCTGCAATAAGGAGCCCCCCCCCCACTTTGTTTAAAAGCTGCAGCCCTGGCCACCCGGAGTCACACTTGCAAGAGGCTTCACCATGATGGTATCTGCCGACAACAGAACCACCAGAATGCCTTTCCTGGCATACCTCTCTTTAAATGTTAGATTGTAAGCTCCTTAAGGGCAGGGACTGCTCTTTGCCTCTTTTTGCATCCCCAGGGCCTAGCACAGTGCCTGGCCCATAGTGAGCACTTAACAAATGTCTATTGATTGATTGAAACAAACTCAATATATGAAAATCCAGATTTGCACAAATAAAGTTTGGGCCAATAAATGCTCTACCCAAACTGGATCCAAACATGAGTCTATTAAATAGGAAGCTTCTCTAGGGCACCAAGACTTGAATATAATCTACATTTATTTTTGTATTTTTTCTTCAGGAAAATGGGAAATGCACCTATATTGTCACTGTGAGGATGCTGCTCACACTACCTCAGGGAGATCTAATGTAAGCTCCTGAACATGGCATTTGAGGTGACAAAGGTCACTCGAGTTCTTCTTGGGGCACTTGTTTCAAAAAGGCCAAACCCAGTGGCTCATAGGATTCTGAGCTAGATAGAAATCATCTAACACCTGCCGCCATCTTATCCCTATTTTACAGAGGAGAAAGCTGAGGCCCACAGAGGTTGAGTGGCTTGTCCAAGGCCAAGAAGTGGGATAAAGATCACAGATCTAGAGTTGGAAGACACCTCAGAGCCAGGCAGGTGGCAAAGTGGTTAAAAGTGCAGGACTTCGCATCAAGAAAATCTGAGTTCAAATCCAGACTCAGACATATTAGCTGTGTGATCCTGGGCAGACCACCCAAGCATTCAGCCTTCATTTTCCCATCTGTAAAATGGAAATGGTAGTAATCATAGCCCCTCCCTACCAGGGTTACTATGAGAAACAAAGGAAATAACATTGTGGCATGCTGCCAACCTTAAAACACCACATAAATGTTAGTTATCATTACCTCGCCCAACTCTTGTTTTTCAGGGGAGGAAACTATTTGGAATGCAAGGTGGGATGGACGTGACCTGATTCAAAGGTCAATGCATCTGAATTCATGACATAATAAATAAACTATGTGTTGTTAGGTTTACATTGCATTTTCCTTATAAAATACCAACTATGGTTGCTCTGGATGGCTTTGTAAAAGGTCTACTGTTGGGGGTGCAAAACAGGTCCCTTGATTTTGAAAAGCTTGAGGCAGGGGCATCTTATCGTTTCAGAGGTTGGCCAGAGACCTCTCAAAATTCACAAGCTTGGGTATATTCAAGTGGGATTGCCAATGACTGTGTATCTACTGATTTGAGCTGATGTGTCCAGACCATTATCAACATACGTGTAAACATATGTTCTAAGTTTAGAGCACAGAATGACCAACTGATTCTCAGTCATGCCAAATAAAACCAAATTGCAACTCAATTAGGGTTCTTGTCCTCCACAGACTGGAATGACCAAACTAGTCTCAGATTTTGCATCTGTGGAAGTCATTTCTGTTAATGTGGCCACAAGTGACCTTAGAGGCCAACCAGTCCAACCCCCTCTTTTTAGAGAGGGGGAAACTGAGGCTCTGGGTCAAACAGTGGCTTCTCTTTTGGTGCATCTGAGGTGTCTTTATCTTGTAAACAAAGGCCCTCATCATCATCAAAAGCAGCAACAGAAATATAGAATTTATTGTACTGACTATACTATGTTCCTCAGAGGCTATAAATAGAACTGTTAGGTAGAGAAAATCAACATTCTTTATCGGAAATCCAACTTCCCTCTAAACATTAACCACTTAACATCATATCCTATCAACTTCACCTTTTGCAAAAAAATGCAAATTCTTCCTTCCCCCCACTCTAACTATGACCCCATATACCGCCATGGTGGTATCGTACCATCCTCAATAGTCCCAGTTTTGGCATCTTTCTTCTTGTTCTTCTTTTTGGCTGATTTTTGGAAAGGAGCGAATTCCACTATGGCAGGATACTCCTGACCTGTTTGGAAAAAAAACACAATAACCCCCCCCCACAACAATTGCTCATATTTATTTTTATGGTTCTCAAGAGTTCCCCACATGCTGCTAGGTGGTGGTGTATCATCGGTCCTGGTGAGGAAACTGAGGCTGTGAGAGATGGTCATATGATAATATGGGCTTTTATAAAGGCAGTGCCTTCAAATCACATGCCGGAGATTCAAGTTGCTCCTTTACGGGAGTCCTACTAGGTGGTTGAGATTTTGAGCTGCTAGGGACTTGAAAGGTCCCTAGTTCCCCCCCCAACCCCATTTCCCCAGGCCCAAGGAAGGTAAGTGAAATTGGCCACAGTCATAAGGTAGTAAGTAGCAAGCCAGGACCTCTAATAACAAATCCAAGGCTCTTTTCCCTCTACCAGGCTGCCTTTCCCAAGAAAGTTCTCACCTCTCACCATCAAGAGAAACACTATGACCTGAGTTACAAAAAGCTCAACCATCATAACAAAAAACAACTTAGAAGGGAATGAAGACATTTTTATAGGTTGAAATTCCAGTCATCTTAAGAAAAAAAAACTGCTTTCAAAAGTTCATAAAAAAAGAACATCTTTTTCAAAAAGCCTATAGAAAAGGCCCCTCAGCTTTGGGGGGGATGACATGTAGGGGACCCACGTGTTTAAGACTGGAGATTATTGCTGTCATTTTCAATCGTGTCTGACTCTCCATGACCCCATTTGGGGTTTTCTTGGCAAAGATACCAGAGTGGTTTGCCATTTCCTTCTCCAGCTCATTTTCCAGGTGAGGAAACTGAGGCAAACAGGGTGAAGTGACTTGCCCAGGGTCCCACCACTAGAAAGTGTCTGAGGCCAGATTTGAGCTCAGGAAGATTTCCTGACTCCAGGCCCAGCACCCTATCCACTGCAGTGCCGCCTAGCTCCCCATAAAAAAAGGGCTATAGAAAGGGCCCTTCAGCTCTAGAGGGGATAACATGTAGAGGAGCCATGTATTTGAGGCTGGAGATTGGATATTTGCTCTACAATAACACCAGCCTAGCAATGTGGACAGATAATAGCTGGAAAGCAAGCCTCAGAATAAAAATGACAGACTTAAGTCCTACCCTTAATATATACTGGCTATGTGACCCTGGGTAAGTCACATGCCTCTCAGTGCCCCCAAAGTACAAGTTGCAAAATAGGTGCCAAAAGAACTTCTAAGAAGGAAACTCCTTCTTTTGGCACTTATTTTGCAGAAAGGCAGGAAGTTAAAAAAAAAATCTCATGTACTTTCCTCCTAGGAGGATCCCTCATGCCCTCCTTATATGACTCGGTTCATTTTTTTAAAAAAAAACGTCTATAGGCAAGGTATAAAATTATAAACATTGGTCCCTGCCATCAAAGACCTTATAGAACAGCAGGGGAGGTACAACCTGTAAACACTTAGCAGTAATACAAGGTAGAATGAGATCACTGCCACCAGAGGCAAACTGTCAAGAAACTTCAGAGGAAGGAAGAAGAGCATCCTGTTGTGGAAAAAGCACTGGAGTTAGAGTAAGAAGACTGGAGTTCAAACCCACAGTGTTCTGGACCATTTATGATAAGTGCCAACAGCCCTATTCAACAAAGGCCCTGAGGGCACCAGTGTATCCTAGGCACAGAATGAATCACAGAACCATGAATCATCATCATGACCCAATGACATCTACTAAAAAGTTGTGAACTGTTTAGTTACAGAAGGTAAGCAAGCATTTTACAAAGATTTTCATCCAAGAGCTCCCAGATGCTCTATATAATTCCACCATGCATGTGGATATTGCTTTCTCCTTTTCAAATCATGTGACACGGATTTCATTAGCCCCAAAACAAGCCCACTCAAAGGTTACTACAGACATTATCAGGATATAAAGAGATATCATTAGATTTGGGGGGAGGAGGAGAGAAACAGAGATACAGAGAGAGAACTAGTAGTCTTTTCAGAATAATGTAGTAAAGAAAGAGCAAAAGAGAAATCCTCCAAATTTCTTGGTAGAGTACCTTAAATTCATTTCCCCCCCCTGTATCTAATGGACAACTGTATTAAGCTGCATACTTTAGTGAGACAGATTTTGAATCAGCATCATTAAAAATTCAGAGACAAACAGTTCATTTTTTATTTTTTCTGACACACAACAAAAACAAAATTCAAAATTATTTCTAAGAATACTGCAATAGCAAATCAATAAAAGCTCTCCTGATCTTTTCTACTTTGTTTTCCTTAAGACAGAGGAATGTTTAAGACCTTCCAACTTTTAGGAGCAGCCACAGCCTTCCTCGAAGAGCCATTCCACATTTGCTCAGACACCTCCACCGACTGGAACACACTACTACTTACCAAGGCAGCCTGTTGGATTTTTTGTTAGATAGCAAAAGAAAAAGAAGAGCCCCTTCTTATATTAAAATGGAATGCCCTTTACTATGTTGGTTCAACTGCTATTGGCACATTCTCTGAAAAGGATCTGTTCATAAGTTGTGAAACTGTCCACACCCTTGGATCCAGTGGTAACACCACCGGGCCTATACCCAAAGACACCAAAATTGGAAGAAAAGGACTCATATGCACAAAAATATTTATAGCAGTTTTTTTTGTGGTGGCATAGAAAAAAGTGGGTATCAATCAAATGAGGAGAATGGTGGAATAAATTCTAAGTACATGAATGTAACATAATAGAATTTTTCAGGACAAACTGATGAATACGATGGATTGAAAGAAACCTGAGAGGAGTAGGATGAACTGATACAGAGCAGAGTGAACAGATCCAGGAGTGTGCTTTTCAAAATGACCACAATTGAATCAAGGCAGTGATCAATCCTGTCTCCAGGAAGACTGATGAGGAAATCTTCCTTTCTATCTCTTAAAGATTTGATGGAGTAGAGGTGTAGGCATACATTTTCAGATATGGCCAACACGTTCATTTGTTTGGTCTCACTATACTTGTTAAAGGGAAGGAAGTGGTAGTGATAGTTGCGAAAAAAGGAAGGAAGGAAGAAAGAAAAGGAGTTGTCAACAAAACATTAAAAAATACACAGAAGGGAGTTTGTCAAGGGACATGAAAGTGGGGTAGTTTCATATACATCCCCCCGCTTTTTTTTGCTCTCTTACCATCTCTCATATACATCCCTCTTTTCTGTTCTCCTTTATAGACTGAACTGTTCATATTTGTTCATGTTCATAATAAAGACAGTTTTTAAGATGTCAATGTCATGATGTAAAACAAAAAGCAGCAATAACATTTATTTTGTAAGAAGGCTTTCATCTTACTAAAGTTTGAGTAATGACAAAAACCTGAAAGCCCCCACCCACAGCCCCTTTTACCTATGGTTGTATAGACAAAATTGGAGTAATAACTGGTGGATTACCTGTGTTTCAGAGCATATTGGTGGGATTAGGCAGAGAATTTTCCAGACTCACTCAAGAAGAAATGGTCCCCATCAGGGAAGACATTTACAATATTATCTTAGAATAACCACTGGCTTAAAAGGTTTGAGCTCAATTGTAGCAATAACAGACAAAGAATCCTTGGGGCTGGGAGGGAATATCTGAAACCTGTATGTATCTTTACACGGGCACAAAACAATATAGCTGCCAACATTATTCAAGCGTTCAAAACAAAGTATCATTCAGGCCAGAGCTGGCAACAATTCCTATCAGATGGGCAGTGAACAATGGGGAATTCTTCCATTTTACTAACATGTGAAGACAGCAGAGAATCCTAGAATGTCAAGGCTAGAAGGGACAAACAACACGGCACAGGGGAAGGAACAATGGATTGGGAGTGAGAGGACCTAGGTTGACATCCTACCTTGGACACCTAATAACCTTGGTGACTTTGGGCAAGTCCCATAACCTCGATGGACTGTAAAACAAAGGGAGTGGGCTCAGTGGCCTCTAAGGTTCTTTTTAGTTCCAGATCTAGGATGGATTTGTTGTGTGTTTTTTTTTTTAGGCAGTTAGGGTTAAGTGACTTGCCCAGAGTCACACAGCTAGTAAGTGACAAGTATTTGGTTCGAGGCCAGATTTGAACTCAGGTCCTCCTGACTTCAGGGCCGGTGCTCTATCCACTGTGCCACCTAGCTGCCCCCGATCTAGGATGGATTTGGAAGCCAGGGGGAAAAACATAACTTCCCCAAAGTACAGAGCAAGTTAGTATGAGAATCAAGCTGACATTTCCTTGAATCTTAAGTACTGGACTCTTTCCTAGGACAGTGGCTAGCACACAGTAGGTACTTAATAAATGGTAGCAGCTTGGTTGATTTCTAAGAGGTTAATAAGAAATCTGGAGGGCTGTTAAGGTGGCATTCTACCCACTGTGCTGCCTCTGATATCAAGGCATCATACTTATCTGCAAGGATGCCTTAAAGGTTAGTGCCCAAGTAAAAATGGTGCTGTTATTAGATCACACACAAGAGGTTTGAAAATCTGGGGGGGGGGGGTGTGGATACAGGATACACCACGTTTCTAAGGCAAGCAGACATATCAAAGGCCCTCTTTGTATCAGTTACCAGGACTCACCTTTATGATCAACGAAAACATAACCATCAAAGCGATCCCTGAACAAAACAATGTCCTCCTGGTTTTTAAAGTTGATGTATGCTCTAGAAAACATATGAGGATACAAACTGCAGAAAGAAAGAACAAAATGTAAATGTGCTTGAAGGTGCCCTGCTGAGTTGCAAATATGCACATTAGTTCTATATGGAGATAGGCCCCAAAGTGTAATGAGAAGCATTAGCAAGACAAGCACTGATGAAGCCTTAAAAACAACCAAAAGAATTATTATTAGTATACAGATATATAGATATATATATATTTTTTACCTAGAATCATTTGCAAAGAACTCAAAATAATCATGTTCAGGCAGAGGCTGAAGGTGTTCTTCAAGCTGTTCCTTAGTCAAAGTAGGAGGCAATCTCCGAATGATCACCTTGACATAACAAGGAAAAAGAATGAACCAGCATTAATACCCCATCCCTCCACAGCCAGGTTAGTCCTGGTTTTTGCTCTACCCAGTGATTTCACTTGCTGGTACAAAATGTCAACTCTGACTTCCATTAATGCTGCCTTAACAGTTAAGGCAATGAGAAGCTTTAACCAAGTTTCACAGGCTAATTATGTGTCAAGGGCAGGAATTTTCCTCCTCTGACTATAGCACTTTGTATATAATATCTCAGTACTGATATCCAAAGTTTAAGCTTATTTTAAAATATGCATTCACTTAGGCTATTGTAGATTGATCCTACTTATTGGTACGACTTGTTTTTAATAACAATCGCTTATATTTTTAGATAGCATCTTATGATTACAAAAAAGAACTTTCACATCCCTATATCATTTGTTTCTCACAACAACGTTGGGAGGAAGGGGAATTCGAACACCATTATGCCCATCTTACAGATGAGGTAACTCAGAGGCTTACTCAGACATGGATTATTAGGGCTGGAAAGGGATTATTAACCTGGGTCCGACTCCCTTATGTTATAACTGAAAAACCTACTAAGACTCAGAGACAGGAAAGTGATTGGCCTAAAGACACAACTAGTAATTAAGGATTAAATCAACTAATTCCTAGTCCAGTGTGTAGTGGAGGCTTTATGGCGAGTGAACTGGAAAGATCATTGAATTTGACCCAATTCAGTCAGTTTCAACTTGTGTGACCTTGGCCAAGTCTCTTCCCCACTCTGGGTCTCAATTTCCTCGGCTGTAAAACCAGGAGACTGGACGACGTGACTTCATTTTATAGAGGAGATAAACACGCTTCGGGAGATTTTGACCTGCCTGAAGCAACAGCTTAGTCAGTATCAGAGGTCTGCCCAAGCCCAGCACAAGATCCACCATTTATTTTTCTGTTAAAATATCACACAGAAGTAGCCAGCAGCTACCTGGGGCTTTCGGGTGTGTCCAGTAAAAAGCTTACAATAAGAATCCATTCCGCAACCCAAGTTCTCTGCAGCTCTCACAAGCCCAGACTGATTGGCAAAACCACCCATGCCCTCTCCACCATCCCCACCCTGCCAGCCAAAGCCGGCTCTGCGCATGTGAAAGGCAGCTTTCTGAAAGAGAGGGCTTCATTCAAGGGGAGGGGGTCTCTAGCTCAAGGTGGGGGCCCATTCCCAGTGAATGAGATGGGTATTTCCCCGGGAGGGAAGAAGGAAAGTGGGAAGGGTCCTCCCCATCTCCCTTTCCCCCTCCCTGTCTCCATTCCCTCTCTTCTCAATCCCCAGCTTCCCTCTCCCCTCTCTGCCCCGCCCTCCAAATCCTCAGCTTTCCCCCTCTGTCCTCCCCATCCCTACCTGCTTCCCTCTCCACCTTCATCACTCCCCCCCCCATTTCCCTCTCCCTCCCACTGCTCCGCTTTCTTCATTCCCCACCCTTATCGATCCTCATGCTCGGTCTGCCTTTTCCGTCCCTTCCCCCACCATCCCCACCCCCCTCGGAATCCTTCCCACACCCTACCTGCTCCCCTCCCCCCCACTGCTCCCCTCTCTGCCTTTCCCCCACCCCACCCTCATTCCCTCCTTCCCCCCCCTTCCTTTCCACTGCTCCTGGCCCTCCCGGCTCTCTCAACCCCAATGGGCACCACCCCAAGCTCGCCTCTCCTGCAGTCGCAGTCTCCCATCCCCCTTCCCCCTCCCTCCGCTGCTCCATTAACTCTTTCATTGCCTCGCCTCCCCCAAAACGATTCGAGGCCGGCGTTGGAACGCTAGCACCTCAAGCCTTTCCAGGGTCTTGGGACCCGGATGGGGGGAGAGGGAAGAAGGGGGCAGGCGCGGCCCCTAGTCGGGCGGCTCCTTTCGGCAAAGGAACCTGTACGCGCCACCCGCACCTTGCTCAGCATCTCCTTCTTCTCTTTGAATCGCTCCGGCTTTCTCTCCTGGGTCTTGGCGCTGTCTGCCGCGCCGCCGAAGGTTGCGCTCGCTGCTGCTCCTGCTGGAGCTGGGGCTGGAGCTGGAGCTGGGGCTGGAGCTGGGGCCGGGCCTGGGTCTGGAGCCGGAGCCGGAGGTGGGGGCGGAGCCGGGGCCGGAGCTGGAGCCGGAGCCGGAGCTTCAGCCTGGAGCGGAGCTGCAGCCAGGGCCGCAGCCGGAGCCGGAGCCGGGGATGGGGATGGGGCCGGGGCCGGGACCGGGACCGGGGTTGGAGCCGGGGCCGGGGCCGGGACCGGGGTTGGAGCCGGGGCCGGGGCCGGGACCGGGGTTGGAGCCGGGGCCGGGGCCGGGGCCGGGGTTGGAGCCGGGGCCGGGGCCGGGGCCGGGGTTGGAGCCGGGGCCGGGGCCGGGCCGGGGCCGGGGTTGGAGCCGGGGCCGGGGCCGGGGCCGGGGCCGGGCCGGGGCCGGGGCCGGGGCCGGGGCCGGGGTTGGAGCCGGGGCCGGGGCCGGGGCCGGGGCCGGGGCCGGGGCCGGGGTTGGAGCCGGGGCCGGGGCCGGGGCCGGGGCCGGGGCCGGGGTTGGAGCCGGGGCCGGGGCCGGGGCCGGGGCCGGGGCCGGGGCCGGGGCCGGGGCTGGGGCAGAGGCTGCAGTTACCGCCGCCGCCGCTGCGGTGACTGCTGCTGTGGTGACCGCCGCCGCTGTCTCTGCTGCCGCTGCTGCAGGCGAGACTGCAAACGAGGGCGGCCGCTTCTCCTTGGGCCTCGCTTTCTCCTTATCCTCTTTCATGGCCCAGCCTATACCCAAGGCAGCGTCAGGATGTCATCACCATAAGCCCGCCCCACCCCGAGCCCGGAGCCCCTCCTCTTAAATCTTCCAGGTCCAACCTGCAATTGTGGCGCAGTGACTCCGATCGCGCGAGACTGCTCGGTCGCCCCTGCCCTCCCTCGCCGGGTAACGGGTACGGTAACACTCTAGCTTTGCCGATGGAACCCGCCCGAGGCCGCTCGCGCCCCTTTTCCCGGCTAGGCTCTGGGTGCGCCCTGGGGCGGTTCTTGGCGTCCACGAGCTAGCGCCGCCCCTTTCCGCCAGAATCAGTTTCACTTTTGCCTGGAGAACTACAAGACCCAGCATGCCAAACTCCAAGTTGGTTCTGGGGCTCAGGGGCTATGAACCTCCAGGGAGGGAATTCGGATTCATTCCTTTGCGCCTTAAACTGATAGGAAAGCCTAGGCTATTGAGATGACCTTGTAGCTTACTCTCGATCCTTCTGCGGATCGTGTCCTCAAGTTGTTTCTCTTGCTGTTACTCACAGTACACTCTAATCTCCCATCTCCTACCTTTGCACTGATTGCCCCTCAAGTCTTTAATACATCCCAACCCTATCCCCCCTTTCAATTCCCTTAGTATTTATGTAGGGTTTTTTTTTTTACATAAACGCGCCTCTCCCGGATAAAAAACAACCTCCTTGTGTTGAGGTTTAGAGTTGGGAGAGCTCGTTCAGGTGTGGAAGATTTCACTTAGCTTTATTTTGTGAAAGCTTCAAGGGCCTGAGGTTAGCAAGGAGCTAAACAAAGGGCGCTGATATAGGAAAAGACCCAGGCTTATTATATAGATGGAAAACTACACAGCCTGTAGGATAATGATGTATTTTTAGGGTTCCTTATGGGGGTTGGAGATTAGGGACAGGATAAGGAAGATGAATGACAGGATAAGGGAGACAAAGGCAATTCTTTTGGTACAAGTTGTACCACATTTCAAGATAAGGGGAAAAGGACTTGAGAAGTTCTCACGTTCCAGGATCTCAAGATACAGGATGGGCTACAGAAGGAGCCTCAAACCCCCTCAGATGCCTGGGAAAATAACACTTAATATTATTTTTAATCCTAGGGCACTCTTTGTTCCCACATCACTTGAGGTCAATTACTGTTTAAACCATTGTATCCTTGTACCCAGGGCTTAGTTGGTGTTGTTCAGTACTTTTGGACTCTTCTTGTCACCATTTGGGGCATTCTTGGCAAAGATACTAGAGTGGCTTGCCATTGCCTTCTCCAGCTCCTTTTGTTTTGGTCTGAGAGGTTGAGACCCCTCAAAGACTAGAGTACAGGACAGGGTCGTTTGGAATGAATTCACAGACTCAAGCATTCTTTAAGTCAAGTGGGCAAAAAGTTTGTTACACTTTTCATCGGGCAAGGATTCTTAAGGAACCTTCGACCTTAGAGGGGTACAGTTAAAGTTTATATAGGATAAAATATAATAAAACATGTCAAATATGCTAACTAGGTGATTCAGGGTGGGATTAGGGAGTAGTTAAGGAGTGGTCAGTTCTTAAAGGAACAAGTACTTCTGCCAGGCGTTTTACCCAGAGTTCACTGGGAAGAGCCCACAAGGGGGGGGCCACATGGAGGTATGGTTTTAGGCCTGCTATGTCACTAAGTTAACTAGAGTTCAGGGGTAACTGAGAGTGATCCAGTCTGCCACCAGTCAATGTCTTGTTTTGATGGGGTGCTTGTGCTTGTATTTGGACCCCAATTTCTCCCTAGTCTCAGAGACACTGTCTCTGACAACCACTCCCCAGCCTAAGGACACTGTGCCTAGCAGTTATTCATGCATGGGCCTTAGCATGACCCTTATCTCTCTTTCCCTGGTACAGCTACACTGAGCTGGGCTGCTCAGGCCCCAGCCCTCAGATCACGTCTCTGGAAGCCTCCCAATTCCTCAGTAAGCTCCTATCTTGTGAGAAAGCTTTCCCTTGTTGCAAAGCATTCTCTCATCAAGACAGAGGGAGAGGGGTACCTTGCCCAGCCCAAGGAGTTTTGTCTTTTTGTCCTTCCTCCTGCCAGACTCCCAAGATCCATACCTCTGTCATCTCCTTCCCTATCTGGTATACTCCCTGTACGTTCCCATCCATAGCTCCCAAAGACAGCTGGACCTTTGGATTACCTAATCAGTACCCCTGGCATTCCTTTCCCATGCCCTTTTCCATATAAACCCTAGCTCCATCCTCAGTCTCTCGCAGGTTCCTTAAGAATCCTTGCCCGATGAAAAGTGTAACAATAAATCTTTGCCACCTTGACTTAAAGAATGCTTGAGTCTGTGAATTCATTCCAGATGACCCGTCCTGTACTCTGGTCTTTGAGGGGTCTCAACCTCTCAGACCACAACAGTTTGATAAGATAGATGTAGGGAGTATACATATGTCTTAAGTCTAGAATACAGATAATGAGGAGTCCAGGATGTAGATAATGAGGTAGGGAGGTAGTACAGATAGTCCAGTGGGTAAGAATATCTTTATGACCCAGTGCAAAGCCAGTTCAAACTGATAATTCCTTCAGGTGCTGTTTGTAACTGCACCAGGGAAAGAGATAAGGGTCTTGCTGGGGCCAACTCACGAGTAATTGCTAGGCACAGTGTCCTTGGGCTGGGGAGAAACTGCCAGAGACAGTGTTTCTGAGACTGGGGAGAAATTGGGGTCCAAGTACAAGCACCCAAACATAAGCACCTAAGCACCCCATCACTTTTACAGATGAAGAAACTGAAGGGGGTTAAGTGATTTGCCCAGGGTCACGCAGCTAGTTAAGTGTCTGAGGCAGATTTGAACTCAGGAAGAGGAGTCTTCCTGACTCCAGGCCCAGTTCTATGCACTATCCTACCTAGCCTCCTAGCCTAGTACAATACCTGGTTACATAGTGAGCACTAAACAATCACTTGTTAACTTAAACCCAGTTTCCACCGGGCTTGCAAAGCTTTCTGGCCCTAACCAAAATTACTGGTAATCCTGAATTATTGATTGAATGATACTATAAATGCAAATTTCCAAATTGTTGACTTAGCTGTAGCACTAAATAAAGATGGGGCTAGAAGACCTTAATTTTAGTTCTGCTTTCAACACTCTGTGATAGAGACATTTGCCCTGAGTATCATTTTCCTCACCTATAAAAATAATAATAGCTACCAAAGTGCTTTAAAATTTACCTTAAGAGACTCTCTGAAAAATAAGCCATTCCATACCCAGAGAAAAAGCCTAAATCATATCATCATACCTCTCCCTGTGTCCTTGCAAAGTAATCTTGTTGTAAGATTTAAATAATGTGGGCAGCTAAGTGGTATAGTAGATAGAGCACCTGCCCTGGAGTTAGGAGGACCTGAGTTCAAATTAGGCCTCAGACACATAACACAGGGGCTGAGCCAAGATGGCAGTGTAAAAGCAGTGACTTGCTTGAGCTCTCCCCCAAACCCCTCCAAATACCTATGAAAAATGTCTCTAAACAAATTCTAAAGCAGCAGAGCCCACAAAAAGAGTGAAACAAACTTCCAGGGCCAAGATAACCTGGATGGTTGATTAGAAAGGTATATCGAGCCAGGCTGGGAGAAGAACCCAGTTCGGCGTGGGCACGCAGGCCACAGCAAACCTGGAGCAGGCCTCAGAGGACTGAATCATAGGCAGCTGTGGCAGTTTCCAGACTTCTCAACCCATGAACACCAAAGACAACTTAGAAGGTCAGTGGGAAAAGTCTGTTTCTGTGGTGAGAGAGAAGTGTGAGGTCCCAGCCCCATTCCCCAAGCTTGGCCCTGGGGTGGGGGCTGCCTCCTGAGCTTCAGTGGCTGATCAGAGGGGCATTGCAGGGATCTCTCTGCTGGTGCAGGATTCTCTTGCTTTGCCAGTGCTTGGATCTGGGTCACAGTTCTGGGTGGTGGTCCTGGGGTGAGGAGGAGTGCTGGCATGGTGGAGCTTGTAGTGACTGTGAAGAGAATATCCTCCTCACAGTTCCAAGACAGAAAAGAGTGCTTATGGTCACTCATAGACAAGAGCACAGGCCAGGGAAGGAGTAAACACCTTGCCCTTGATCATAGCACCTTGGAAGAACTGAAAATTTACAGGTCCCTAGAAGTATCTCTGAAAACAGCTGCACAAAACCCCTGAAGCTTGGGACAGTACATTCTCCACACTGGAAACAGACCCCTACCTTAACAAAGAGTTTATAACTCAAGTAATTAGCTGGGATCATGAGCAGCAGCGCAAAAAGAGTCAGACTATATTATCTTACTTTGGTGACAAAGATTAAAACATACAACCGGAAGAAGACAATGAAGCCAAAGCTCCTACATCCAAAGCCTCCAAGAAAAATATAAATTGGTCCCAGGCCATGGAAGAGCTCAAAGGGGATTTTGAGAAGCAAGTAAGAGAAGTAGAGGAAAAACTGAGGGTGATGCTAAAGGAGACCCAAAAAAATACTGAAGAAAATAACACCTTAAAAAATAGCCTAACCCAAATGGCAAAAGAGGTCCAAAAAGCCAATGAGGAGAAGAATGCCCTAAAAAGAAAATTGGCCAAATGGAAAAGGAAGTCCAAAAGTTTACTGAAGAAAATACTTCCTTAAAAATTAGAGTAGAGGGGCAGCTAGGTGGTGCAGTGGATAGAGCACCGGCCCTGAAGTCAGGAGGACCTGAGTTCAAATCCGGCCTCAGACCGAACACTTGACACTTACTAGCTGTGTGACCCTGGGCAAGTCACTTAACCCCAATTGCCTAAAAGCAAAAAAAAAAAAAATTAGAGTAGAGCAATTGGAAGCTAGTGACAATTTGAGAAATCAAGGCACTGTAACACTAATCCAAAAGAATGAAAAATTAGAAAACAATGTGAAATATCTCATTGGAAAAACAACTAACCTGGAAAATAGATCCAGGAGAGAGAACTTAAAAATTATTGGACTATCTGAAAGCCATGATCAAAAAAAGACCCTAGACATCATCTTTTGAGAAATTATCAAGGAAAACTGCCCTGATATTTTAGAACCAGAGTTCAAAATAGAAATGGAAAGAATCCACCAATCACCTCCTGAAAGAGATCCCCAAAGGAAAACTTCTAGGAATATTGTAGCCAAATTCCAGAATCCCCAGGTCAAGGAGAAAATATTGCAAGGAGCCAAAAATCAGAATGACACAAGATTTAGCAGCTTCTACATTAAGGGTCCAGAGGGCATGGAGTATGATATTCCGGAGGGCAAAGGAAATAGGACTACAACCAAGAATCACCTACCCAGCAAAACTGAATATAATCCTTCAGGGGAAAAAATGGTCATTCAATGAAATAGGGGACTTTCAAGCATTCCTGAGGAAAAGACCAGAGCTGAATAGAAAATTTGACTTTCAAATACAAGACTCAAGTGAAACATGGAAGAGATAAACAGGAAAGAGAAATCACAAGAGACTTATTAAAGTTGAACTGTTTACATTCCTGCAGAGAAAGATATTTGTAACTCATGAGTCCTTTGTCAGTATTAGGGTAGTGGGAGGGAAAAAAATTATATGTATGTATAGATAGATAGAGGGCACAGGGTGAGTTGAAGATGAAGGGGTGATATCTGGAAAATAAAATTAAGGGGTGAGAGAGGATTATACTGGGAGAAGAAGAAAGGGAGAGGTAGAATGGGGTAAATTATCTCACATGAAACAGACAAGAAAAGGCTTTTACAGTGGAGGGGAAATGGGGGAAGGTGAGAGGGAATGAGTGAATCTTATTCTCATAGGATTTGGCTTAAGGAGGGAATAACATACACAATGGGGTATGGAAATCTATCTTACCCTACAGGAAAATAAGGGGGGAAGGGGACAAGAGAACAGGGGGTTGATAGAGGGGAGGGCAGATTGGGAGAGGGGATAATCAAAAGCAAACACTTCTGAGGAGGGACAGGGTCAAAAGAGAGAATAGAATAAATGGGGAGTAGGATAGGATGAAGGCAAATATACTTAGTTTTTCACAACAGGACTACTATGGAAGTGTTTTGCATGACTACATATCTAAAACCTGTATCAAGATGCTTGCCTTTTCAATGAGGGTCAGGGGGAGGGAGGAAGGGAGAAAATTTGTAACCCAAAGTTTTAAAAACTAATGTTAAAAATAAAAAAAAATAAAGACACATAACACTCACTAGCTGTGTGACTCTGGGCAAGTCACTTAACCCCACTGCCTAGTCAAAAACAAAAACCAAAAAAAATTTAAATAATGCACCTACTTAAGAAATGGTTCACAAACTACAGGTCTGGGACCTGTTTTATTTATACAACTTGTTGATTCTTTTACCTTTTGGCATATAGTACTATAGAAACTAGTCTGCTGTCATTTTTTTAAAGGAAAAACCCTCCTCGAATAATTGCCTTTTTGTAATGGATCCGCTATGCTAATGCTCCTTGTCAGCCTGTCAGTCCAACTGTCTGCTGCCGTGTTTATGATTTCAGAATGTCTCAAACATCCTCACTGACTGAAGTCTAAAGACACTGGGTGTAGGGAGGGAGAGAGGGGGAGGAGGCCACCCACCTGAAGTCTTGTTCCTGAAAGATTAGCCCTCTTTCCTTGTTCCTTTACCAGGCTGGGCATGTGCTAACCATTTCCCCACGTCACCCCCTTTCTGGGTAGGATAGTTCCTGCCAAGGAAAGAGCTAGATTCATGATTTGCCTCCATTGTTCTCTGTTCTCATCCAAGATTCCAAGACTTCTAGGTCCTGCCACCATTTTGCATTGCTGGCTGACCTCACTCAGGCATGCCTGCTTTTCTGCATGGTCTCCTGGAAAAAGAAAAACCCTTTGTCACTGATCTATAGCCATCCCTTTCCTTAAGTGAGACTACTAGTCCTCAGAGCTCCTGGCCTCCCCATAGTTGCTAAGAAGGGAAGAACCTTTCCTGGGTGAATGGTTGGCTTTTTTCCTTTTGAGCCACGACTGTATACAGAACAGCCTTTGTGGGAGGAGGTGTTGCTTGAAGGTGCCATTTTCTGTTTGTTTAGAACACTCTCCCCTTCAGCATCTCTAAAGTTTCCATGTGGCCAAGGTAATGTTTTTATCTATCTAAACCATCTGACTCAATGGGAACCACACTTTTTGTCGTTTTATACTTTGCTAGGTAGATTTTATTACCCTGTGCTGCGCCCTTTTTTTTTTAAAGAGAAATTGGGTTGTCTTAATTCATTTTATGTGCCAGGTTCTCTATGTTTTTCATTGCCCCTCAAGTCCCATCCTGCACAATTGGCATCAGGTGCAGGAAGAAGTTGATTGAAAAAAAAGAAGAAACAATTATCCAGTTTTCTCCTTTGCACTGTTAGTTTACCTGATGGTTTCCTACTTACTCCTGTTCTGTAGCTGTGTACAAAGAGATGTGAAATACTTTCAGGCAAAATAAACTATAAGTGACTCAGTAAAAAAAAAAACACCTTACCTTCACAATAACTTTGAGAGGAAGAGATTATCCCCATTGTACAAAGGAGGAAACTGAGGCATAGGTTAAGTGACTTGTTTAAGGTCACACAGGTAGGAAATATCTGAGTCCAGATGGGAACAGAGCACTAAGTCCAGTGCTCTGTTCACTTCACACCTTTGAATTAAAATGGTCTTGAGCTCCTTTTCAGCTCAGAATCTTTTTTTTCTTTTTCTTTTTTTTAAGGCAATTGGGGTTAAGTGACTTGCCCAGGTCACAGAGCTGGTAAGTATCAAGCGCTTGGTCTGAGGCCGGATTTGAACTCAGGTCCTCCTGACTTCAGGGCTGGTACTCTATCCACTGCACCACCTAGCTGCCCCTCACTCAGAATCTTAAAGGGTTTTTTAGTCTTGATATGTTGTGTAGATTGCATCAGCAGGACATGGCACTTCATCTTGCATATGTAGACGGTAGGGTGTAAGGAAGAGGGAAGAGAAGACTCAAGAAAAATGTTCAGGTTTCTCAAACGTGGGTAACTGGGTTCCTGAATTTCAGTTACCCTTTGGAGTTAAGGCAAGGAGACTTTTTTCTTCCCCTTAAGAGTAAATGCATGTCACTTTTGTATTATGGCTGTTTTAAGTAAGGGGAGGGAGGGAGAAAAAGGGAGATAACGAGTGAGGAGAGAGGGACAGATGGATTAAGGCTAGAAGAAAAGTCGGAGAGCAGCAGAAACTAGGGAAATGAGATACACCTGGGGATGGTGGAAGGCAACAAGACAAAACTTGTCTAGACAGACACACACCCAGATACCACTAAGTGCTACTCAAAGAAATCCAGCAACATATTTAAAGCAACCAACACACCCCCCTTGCAGCCTAAAACTTTTAAAGCAATGTATTTTTTTTTTACAATTATAAGTATAGCTTTTGATTCATGGGGTTGGGGGAGCCCAGATTGATGAGGTCACCAATCTACTGAAATCCCTGATGTTAGTACTTGTCTGCAGGCCAGATGAAATTAAGCTCTAGGTCAACTTCAGATCCCTCACTCCTATTTTAAAATACATCTTGAAGTAAAAAATATAAATTCATGACCTTGAGGCTCCAAAAAGATAACATTGTAAGTAAAAAGTGTAAATGTATATGACCTTCAGGCCTCAAAGATATGTTGATATTTTATTATACTGATTATTGACTCATTTCTTGCAATAGCCCTGCTAAGTAGGTCAAAAGATTAATTTGGGAAGATTGTTTCCTTTTACAAAACAAACCTTCAGTTTGATGCTGCCAAAGGATACATTTAAGTAAAAACGTTTAGTAGGCAGCTGGTGAATATATGGCTGGCATTAAGGTTAGGGTCAGAGAAACAGATCTGACAGTCATTTGTGTAGGAAAATTGAAGTTGATTCTCCTTTATTGTAGAATATTGTATCTCTATTAATTGTACTTAGATGAACTTATAGCCTGGCTTAATCTTTCACCACCTCCACAACGTCACTTAGTCACTGTAAAGTTGGCTACAAAAGTATATTTGTCATGAAAAGTCCAGTAGTTCTGCGCTCTGTAAGGATCTGCACCAATCCAGCAATGGCAATGAATAGCAGTCACCTAATATAACCAGATTAAATGCTAATCAGTTAGGCAATGTTCATCATGGTTACAAAGAAAAGAGGTCTTTCAGTCACAGAGTTAACAATTCAAAAGGGATGTTCACAAGATAAATTCTCCAAACCTTAAGCTCTGTCTCCCTAATTGAATTGGTCAGGTCCTTCAGCAGGACCTCACGCTGGGACAATAGAGTATGCTTAATATTTAGTGTTGACAGTGAAAGGAGAGTCTCACATATTTTTGAAGCAAAGGTGTCACAGAGCAATGAATAGTTTAATAGACCACTCAGAGGGCAGACTGCCTAAATTTAGTATTTTACCTCTAGTACTTAGCAGGTACTTAACACTTATTCATTCATTCCTTCATTAATGAAGGCAGCATACTTCTATAACCACTCTACTTCTAAAGAATGAGTGTACAGGGTGGACAGAAGTTAAAATACTGCCTCTGACAGCTATTACCTGTGTAACTATGGGCAAGTCACTTAATATCCCTGTGACTCAGTTTCCTCCTCTATAAAAGGAGAGAGTTGGATTAAGTAGCCTCTAAGGTCCCTTTCAACTCTAGATCTATGATCCTAAAGAGATGTCTCAGTATGGAAGTCCTTATCCAAGAAACAGGACAAAAGCCTTTAGTACATCACCATCTGCTTTGCTGCTGCATCCTAAGGACCATGGGACTTTCCCATTGGACTTGCAGCTAGCTCAAACTTTGCATGTGTTGTCTCCTCCATGGACTGTCTTTCCTATTTGTGTCTCTAGTGCTTAGTGCTTTATACATGGTACGTTCTTAAATATTTTATTCATTCATTAGGACACCCTTGAGAGCTTCTTCAAAGTGTACCCCAGATCCTTCTGGCACATTAGCCAGGTAGCAGATTACTTTGAACCCTGGGTGTCAGGCAATTTAAGGCAATCCAAGACTCCCCCCCAACCCAAGTTGGCTTGGTACCCCATGGATACCAGGGAATTTAAGCCTCCCCATTCTTCACCTCCACCCCAGTTTAGCCAGAATAGGTACCAAGCAATCCAAGCCTTCCCTCCTCCCTATCCTTGCCCCGCCCCAGTTTAGTCTGGTAACTCAGGGGAAACAGGCAATCCAAGCCTCCCCATTGTTTCCCCTCCACCCCTCCCTCTTCCCCATGCTGCCCCCCTCTCCCCCCAGTCCACCTCGACGCTTGAGTCAGAAATCTCCACTCATATCAAAACTTAAAAGAGAGAGATTTTATTGTTACCAGTTAGTTCCCTAGGTTTAAGTTACGGGGTTTACACCTTCATCTGAGCTTTCTAAGGGGTCAGAGGTGCCCGCCTTTCCCTCTGCTTGGTGTTTTTCTAGCTTGGCGATCAGGTCCTTGGCTGGGTTGAAAACCCCGTTGGTCTGCTGGTCACAGACGTAGCAGCGCTGGGAGGTGCGGAAGTGACTGAGGGCGCAGCCCTCGCAGAAATAATGCTTGCACTTGGTCACCACGGGGTTACGGAAAGACTGTCGACAAATGAAGCACTTGAAAGGCAGGTCCTCGTCGTCGCTGCTCACCTCGTAGTTGTCTTCGTCGATGCCCCCGTAACGACCCTCGTCCAGCTCGCGCTCGATCTGCCAGCCGTGCTTGTAGTCAGAGCGGTCGTGCAGGAACTTGCAGCTGTCTCCGAAGCCGCAGAAGCCGGTCTCCTTGTAGTCCTTGCAGATGTCGGGCTGATAATCCCAGCGCACCGTGGCGCGCAGGTGTTCGGGCGCACGGATGGGCCCCTTTCTTACCATGCCCGATGAGGCGTTGCCCATGGACGTGTCCTTGGGTTTCACGTACCTCTGGTAATTGTTGATGCCCCTGTAGATCTTATCGTCCTCTTTGCCGCGAAGCTCCTCTTGGATCTTCTGGCTGCGCTCGAAGATGGCTTGGGCATCGCGCTCCTTCTCCGTGTCCAGCTCGTACACGGCGGTGGCGCCCATGTCCTCGGGGCCCACGGGCTTGGCCGAGCGTGTGGATTTATAGACGACGCTCACGGAGGGCGAAGGCTCGCTCTCGTCGTCGCCGCCGCTGCTAGCGCCGCTGTAAGAGGCGGGCGCCTTCTTCTCCCGGCAGCTGCCGCGCGTTTTCTGGATCATGGGGTTGGGGACCAGGCGCCTTTTCTCCCGCCGGACCACGACGTTTCCCTCATCGCTGCTGCTGCTGCTGCTGCTGCCGCCGTCTGCTCTGGGCGGCTTGTCGAAGGCAGGCCGTTTCCGGCGACCCGCGTTGCCCTTACGGTTCGACTTCTTGAAGAGGAAAGTGCACACCGGACCAGCCGGAGGCTCAGGGGACAGGTCGTCAGCCATCCCACTCTCTCTGAGACTATAAAGCTCCGGCGCCAAGTACTCAGTACCGGTCGTGACGCCACTTCCTGTCAGAAAGAGGAGAAAGGCGGGCGGGGCCACGGCTGCGGGGCCCCCGCTGATTGGCCGCCGCCTAGGGGCGTGGCGGCGCGGGAGCTGCTGGGACGGGAAGCGACCGCAGTCACCTTAACCCCGCGTCCGGCGTCGTATCCGCTGTCTGTTGGAGTCTGTGGCCGTGAACCTCCTGCCGAGATGTGGTTCGAAATTCTGCCGGGGCTGGCCCTTATGGGCGTATGTGTGATGATCCCGGGAATTAGCACCGCCCTCATCCAAAAGTACATGAGTGGGGGCAAGGTAGGGCCAGGCTGCCCGTCAGCGGCCCCGCACACCCGAGCTGGGTCCCGGAGCGGGGTCCTCTCGTGCTTCTTGGGGTTTGTAGAGCGTCTCTGCCCTTCTTGGCTGTTACAGCCCTTGAGCCTCAGCTCGCGGGCGGCTCCGAGGTCCGGGAGGGGAAGGGAATTGCCAAGGATCACGTATAGGATCCTTGCTCTAGAACTGGAAGGGACCTCGGGCTATCGAGTCCACCCCCTCTCCTTTTACAGAGGAGGAAAGTGAGATGCAGTGAAGGGAAGGGACTTGTTCCGGGTCACGCAGAGGATCCTAGAATTAGAGCTGGAAGGGACCCCAGGGCCTATCCAATTCAACCCCTCCCCCCTTCATTTTACAGAGGAAGAAATTGAAGCCTAGGGAGGGGAAGTAATGTATCTGAGGGTATACAGTATTCAAATCCAACTACTCTGAATCCAAAACCAGTGCTTTTTCCATTACTAGCTTTCCATCTTCCTCACGCAGATGGCATGCCAAAAAGTAAATCTTTTCTGTGCTAAGTAAATGGGCATTCTCTTTAGTTTCTGCCCTAAATACTATTTCACTGGGGGAGAAGCCCTGATTTCCCTTCCTGTAATGCAAACAGCAGGTTGGAGGCAACTCTTTGTTGCCTGAGAAAATGAGAAGAATCCCTTCTTTACAGAGATATAGGGGATCTAAGACGGTCAAAGTGGACAAATAGAACACTGGGCCTCAAGTCATGAAGACTTGAGTTCAAATCTGGTCTCAGATACTTATTAATTGTGTGACCTTGGGCAAGTCACTTCACCCCTGTGAGCCCCAGGTTACTCATTTGTAAACAAAAGTGAGATAATAATAGCACCTACCTCCCAGGGTTGCTGTGAGGATGAATGAGATAATATTTGTAAAAGAGCTTACTTAGCACAGTACCTGGCACATAGTAGGAACTGTATCCCCTTTCTCCTTCTCCTCCCTGTCTATGGTTGTAGAGCATTGCACGTATGGTCAGACTTAGATGTTAGTTTTGCTAAAATGGCTTTTTTCCCTCTTTTATTGTTCTCTATTATGAGGGATGGCTCACTGGGTAGAGTTGGAGATGGGACATTCAGAAATGAAGGTGATATATAATATACAAATCTATGTAAATGTGTAAAAATGATTTTTTTTAAAGTAAAGGGGAGAGATCTGAAGAGCCCTAAGTAACACCAAAGAACCTCCTGAACTGGCTGTAGAAGGGAGTGGGAAGATCAGGGGAAGGTACAAAGAAAGGGGTTATGTGGCAAGAAGAAGCGGAGATTAAGGTAGAGAGGTTCAAGGCCAAAAGGAGAGGAGAGAATTCAGTTACTTCCCCCAAACTATACTCACTCCATTTATTTAGCAAATGTTTATTGAGCTACTGTGTACAAGGCCCAGTGCTAGGTACTGGGAATAGATATGAGTCAAATACCAGACCTGCCCTCAGAAGGGCTCACAGTCTAGTAACAACACAGATGTCATATAATCTCTTAATGCCTATTGAGAGGGTGGAATTGGTGTAGTGGAAAGGACACTGGACTTGGATTCTGGAGGTTCAAATCCTGCCTCAAATACCTTCTACTTGAGGCTTTTCCTCATCCCTTTTAGCTTCTGTTACTGCCTCATATACAAGGTAGTTGTTGGGGGGAGAGGGAGGGGTGGAGTTGTATATGTGTATACTATCTCCCTCAGGTAGAATGTAACCTTTTCCAAAGCAGGAACTGTTTTATTTGAAAATACAGCATAATAACCAGCACATAGTAGGTACTTTATAAATGCTTGCTGATAGATTGATTGAAGGTATAATGGAAAGTGTGTTGGAGTCAGTGGACTTGGGTTCAAGTGCCTTCTCATATACTTTCCATGAGGACAGGCAAGTGACCTAATCACTCAGACTCTCAGTTTCCTCATCTGTAAAATAGGGATAATAAAGACTAATGCACTTATCGTGTCTCACAGGGTTGCCAGTAAAACCTTGAAGCATTAAATATTATATTATATGAGATCTGCAGGAGGATGGTTATCAATTGGGGGAGGCATTGAATTTTAATAGGCAAAGATGGGAGCAGAGGGGCATTATTTCTTGAGAGCAGAAGCTGTGGGTAAGGGACAGAAGGCAGAGCCTGGAGGGTCCCTGATTTGAGCAAATGGAAGGAAGGAGAAGAGCCAGGGAAGGAAGAATTAAAGAAATAGCAAGAGAATCTTGAGAGAGCAGTACCACCTAAGCCAAAGGGTAAAGGCATACAGCAGTATCATAGTAGCATGGTGGCCAGGAAGCATGACAACTTCAAAACTGAATAATATGAAGTCATGATGATAGAGATAGGAGAAAGTTTCCCCTGATTCCTACAGATGTGGAGGACTATAGGTGTGGGACAATGCATATAGCATAAGACTTTCGATATGTTGATGAGTTTTGCTAAAGAATTTTTTGCCTTTTTTTTTTTCCCCTTTATTATAACTTATGGCCCTCTGGGAGGGGAGGAAATGTGTTGGGACATGTGAGTGCTGTAAACACAAAAGAAAGATGCTAGGGGGCCCAGTGGATAGAATGCCAGCCTGGAGTCAGGAAGACCTGAGTTCAGATCCAGCCTCACTTACTAGCTACCCTGGGCAAGTCACTTCACCTCTGTTTGCCTCAGTTTCCTCATCTGTATGTAAAATGAGGATGATAATAGCACCTACTGCCCAGGGTTGTTGTGAGGATCAAATAAGATGATATTTGTAAAGTGCTTAGCACAGTGCCTGGCATGGTTAAATGTTAGTTATTATTATAGTTATATGTCTATTATATGCACTATTATTAATATATCTATATTATAGATGCTTTTATATATAAAGTTTTTTTTTCTCACAGAGACTAAGAACTGAGGAGAAGTTCTAGGATTAAATCATTAGATCTTTGACTCCTAATTTCCATCCCCTCTTCAATTACCCCTTATCCTTAAGAGGCTGAGGCCTCTTAACTTTGAAGTTCAGTAGCCTGGTTTTTCTTTCTGGGCTTCATCCATGCTCCTCCTTCTTTTGTTTGAGCTGTGTGATAGTCTTTGAAGCTTTCTCTCTTCCACTTTCTAATTTCTGGCCACTTTGGGCCACTTGAATGTCCGTGTTCTCTTTACAGGAAAAGAGAATTGCCCGTAATCAATACCAGTGGAATCTACTGGAGAGGGACCGGAGGCTCTGTGGATTCAATCGTTATTATGAGGCGAAGGTACAGTTTGTCCTGCTGTGTGTCCCATTTGGTGGGTTGGGTTCATTTTGAAAGTGTCTTCCCCTGGAGGGATCTTTTGGTTGATTCCGCTGGCCCTGGAGACTCTAACTTGTGATTTCATGGTCCCCAGGTAAAGTAGTTTGCTGCTTCCAGTTCTGTCCAGGATGCACTGGGAAATTCCTCAGAATGCATTATCTCACCAGCCTGCTATTGTTGTCAGATGCCAGAGTTTCTTTTCTTTGGATGACACAAGGAATTGCAATTTCATGAAACTTATGTGAAAACCAGGTTTATACAAGAGAAATGAACATGTGGGTGTAAGCCAAAGAGTTCACAAACAGAAGTTTGCATATTTATGACAGCAGGACAAAGGAAGGAGGAGAAATCTCCACCTAAAGGGGAGTGGCACGGGAAGGGGAAAGGTGCAGTAAAGATGGGGAAAGGACAAAACCCCCCTCCCGAAGGGGAGGGGCAAGGCTATGTGAAAGCCACATTTGCTTGGGAACTGCTAGACTATGAACATAGAATGGTCTGTTTATCTGGTCCCAGCTGCACAAGCAATTTCCCAGCCTGGCTAGCATCTGTCTTGATTCCCAAGGACACACAGGGAGTCCAGTTTGGGATCCAAACAACAAATTATGTCAATTGGGGTGGGGGGGGAAGCTTTGTCCTCCATACATGCTGTGGGTCTAGTATTTCTGGAAAATATGGCAACTCAAAAAGACAAGTTCAGGGAACCATTTAGAAGGCTGAATTCCTCTGCCTTCAGTCTAACTTTGATACCTTTATAAGAGTTCTAGTAACAGGGTGAAAAGTAAAACCTAAGGAAGATGTAGGCCCAAATCTGGAGGAAACTGTTTTTGTTTTTTAATAACCTAAGGAAGTAGGGTGACCCTGTGATTTGAGAAAGGCAGCCCAGTGTGCATTTGGAAGAATCCTGGCCTTGGATTTCAGAGAGCTGAGCTCGAGACCCGACTCACACATTTAGTGGCTGTACCATGCGAGTTTTTTCTTTTCCTCTTTGAACTTCAGTTCCCACTGCAGCAGATTGGGACTAATAATACACCCACTCCCTATCTCACAGAGTTGTAGGAATCACATGAAAAGAATGTACACAGAATGCTGCATAAACACATCTTGATTCTCTTTTTTCTGGGAGATTATGCCTAAACTAAGCCACGATGTACAGTTAAAATAATCGTTAACAATGATCTCTTCTTAACGATGGTAATTTTCGGGGAGTCTTTAGGCCATCATTCAGTGACTCAGAGGTAGCAGCTTGGATGTGTAACTGTAGAAGGCTGTGCCAGGGACAGGTAGTGTTTAGCCTGGAGAAGACAAAGCTTGGGGAGGACATGATTCTTCAGGTTTGGAAGGGCCTCTGTCACATGGAGGTGGGATTGGCCTTGTCCTGTGTGGCTTCAGAAGGCAGAACTAGCAGCAGTGGGGGGAGGGTACAAACAAGCCAGTTTAGGAGAGGAGATAGGAACTCCTTTCTGACAATTTGAGCTGTCTCAAAATGGAATGGATTGCCTCCAGATGGAATGAGTTCCCCTTCCTTGGTGGTCTTCAAGCCAAGATTGGATAATAACCATTGTGTTATTGTGGGCATTCCTTTGGAGTAGGCTTAGGCTATGAGGCTCAGTCCCTTATATTTTTCAGTTCTGGACAAATCACAGAAATCTGACCTGCCATAGAGAAGAGAGACTAGGATGGATGTTTTGAATAGTAAATTGATGTTATAAGTAGGTTGTTTTTTCCCACAATGGCTCCAAGTTATTTGTCAGATCACTTTACTTTTTCAACAGTGCCAAGCCTAAAACTGCTTCTCGTGACTTGGAATAAACGTACAGACTAATAGAACGTATGTGCTATGACTGAAATGACTCTGCAGGGGAAAAGTGATTCAGATCATGCTCTTTAGCAGATAAACAGCCCAGGTGGGACTGAAACTCAGATCTTCCTGGCTCTGAGGCCTTCTCTCTGCCCACTGTGCTGTGGTGCTTTTCTTTCATATATCCATCTGAAAGTTGCTACAGGTCCTTTTAGAAATAGGCAGGGTATATGATTTTCTTTTTTTTTTCCTTTTTTAAAAAAATTTTATTAATTTATTTTGATTTATCAATAATCACTTCCATATGCTTTTGAGTTTAAAATTTTTCTCCCCCTGCCTCCCCCCCCACCCTCCCTGAGACGGCGCACGATCTGATATAGGCTATACATTTACATTCCTATTAAACATATTTTCACATTGGTGATGTTGTAAGTGAAAATTAAAACCAATAGGAGGAACCATCAGAAAGAGGAAACAAAACTCAACAGAAGAGGAAAAAAAAATAGCAATTCAACTTCCATAGTTCTTTCTTTGGAGGTGGATAGCATTTTCTATCATGAGGCCTCTGGAGGTGTCTTAGATCCTTGTATTGCTGGGAAGGATTAAGTTTATCAATATTAGTCATCGTACAACATGGCTGTTAGGGTATGTGATTTTCAAAACTATATGATATATTACCATGTGTAATAATGTATATGTTGAAATTATAACTATCTGGTTTTTACATTACTATAAATGCAAGCAGAGAGTGATAGCTGCTTTGTAGAAAGAGCTAGAAGTGAGAAATGCTGAGCTCTCTTCAGAGACAATGAGATTCACATTTCTTTCCCCTTTAAACTTTTTTAGGGGTTGGAGAACATAACCGAAGATGCATAAGTGACCACATGATGCCCATCCTCAAGACTGCAGAACACTTCTGTGAGATGTTGTCTGGTGCCCATTAAAGACAAAGCAACTACCCAGAGAGCAGGTCTTTTTTTTTTTTGCGTTCAAACCCCACACCTCTTCCTCTGTTTCTTTTATATAAACATATCCAAGAACTTGGACACTGAGTTCAGGCATGGAGCCTTAGGAAATATAAAATGGGCTTCCAACAGTAGAAGTATTTCATGCTGCCAAATCAGGGTTTCTTCAGAGAGGACTAGGAAAGAAATGTAATTGCTGTGGTTTTTCTTTCCCAGAAGAATTCTTCTCTTCCTTTTGTCAGAAAAATAAACTGAGTCATTCAACATTATATTTAATGATCAGATCTATTAGACACTCCTTTTATTAATTAGCTGAAACGCCCATTTGGAGGGCAGTTGCCTGACACAGAGATCCCTCTCTGTCAACCAAGTGTCCTGCCTAGATTTAAAAAAAAAGACCTAACAACAACAATAACAAATCTGAGGCTTATAGAATCTTGTGGAAATAATTCCAGGAAGTTCAAAAAAATCATCTCGTGCTATCAGGTTTGCATGAGCATTCCAGGAACCGAGCATTTATCATCCAGAAAGGGAAAGCAAATCAAAGACACATTTTAGCTCTTTGAGCCCAACAGTCAATAGCAGGTAACTTCAGGGACTCCAAAGGGCAAGGACAGGGCTGCAGATTACAGAGGTTCATCCGTGAGGAAATGATAAGGGCCAGTCCAATTGTGGCAGGCCACCCAGCATAAATTGGTAGTGTTGTCTGCCCTTTCAAGTCAGTGCCAGCATTTGTAGGTGAGCTACCAACTAGTAGCTTAAACCAAGAGGCCTAAGAAATTACTGTAGATTCCACAGTGAACATTGATTAAGGGATAAAGCTTGCATTTTGTCAGAGGCTGTAACTTAGGTTTTCCATATTTCTTTGAAAGATCATTGCCTTCCTGAAGGCAAAGTATTTTTTAAAATTAAGTATTAAGTTCCCTGGGGGCAGAAGCCCTTCATTCTGTAAGTTTTCCATAGCGCCCATTTAAAAGACACTTTTTGACATTTAAAAGGTAATTTTTCAAGAAGATAAACAACAATGACTACCAGTTATGTTGATTGAAAATAGTGTGGGGTGAGGAAAAATGTGAAAGTTAAGAGTGCTGGGTTTGTTGCTGGAAGTAACCAGAAAAAACTAGCAGGTGTAAAGATGAGCATGCTCCAAGGGGGTGTGTTAGCACTACATGGTAAATTAAAAAGCAAAATCCTACTTTTTCCCCCTTTTGTTGGGCCCTACCTGTGAATTCATTTGTATAGGGAATTTTGGGAAGGGAAGCTCTCTCTACCAATGGAGTCTAGCATTAACTCTACAGCTTATGATTTTAGGAAAGCTGAGAGGTTAGGTGACTCACTCAGAGCCTCCCAAGAATGTGTCAGAGGCTAGGCTTGAACCCAGCTTGTCTTGTTTCTGAGGCCAGCCCTCATTTCTTCCTTATTCGTTAAAAATTCAGTTGAAAATTTGGCCTGATTATAAATCCCAAAGAAATCGAATAGCAAAGCTACTTCAGGCCTAAACATGCCGTCATCTTTGGTGACATCAGATGGAGCAGGACCAACAGAAGGAAGGGTATGGTCAAACTTTGCTCCCAGAGGCTTCATCACCATGGCCAAGAATCAGTGGTGTGAATGTCTTTACTGTCTTAAGAAATGCCAAGGAGAGTTGTCAGGGAGCCCTTGGCCTAACAAGAAGAGCTTGATGAAAACATCTGGGGTGGGGGGCTCAGAGCCCTAGATTTCTTCTGGAGTTTTGACAGGGCCCAGACTTAGAAGGGCAGAAAGGCCTGCTATCTGGAGGAGGAGAATGGGGCCAGCCTTTGAAAGTGATCCTTCCAGGGTAAGAAATTTATACTTGATTGTAATACAACCTATACCTCATGTTTGGTTGTTAAAATACTAGATTAATCAACCTCAGCTCACAACCTCTAGTGTTTGAAGTTTTAAAGTCACTCTTTTTATTCTGAATTTTATAAGCATCAACAAACATGACCATTTCAATATACAAAGCAGAGCAGAAAAGATTATATGTGAAACTAATCTATCGAGTAAAATTGGTTTCTCGAAAGTGTGGTAAACTCAAGACATTTTTTTTGCAACAACTCTGATGTGTTTCTGCAGTTTTACAGACGAGGAAGCTGAGCCACATAGAAAGGAAATGACTTACCCATGGCCACACAGCTAGTAAGTATCAGGGCCAAGGTGTCCAACCCAGTGTCTTGTACACTTTCCATTTGGCCACAGTGCTTCTACACAGATATCCTTGTCAAGTATATGGGACAAGTAGTGGTAAATTCTACTTTACAGAATTTGATGGATTTGAGGTTAAAGCTGCATGAAGAAGGCTTGCTCATGATGTGTAGGCCTGACCTCTATAGACTGGATCACCTTCCCTATATAACATTTAACCAGGCAGTACTAAAATTGCCCTGTGCACATGTTATCCTCGTTTTACAGATGGAAGACCAAGAAAAACCCAAAAAAACTGTGAGCCTGTGTCTTCATCTGTAAAATGAAGGGTTGTATGTGAAAGTCCCAGTTCCAAATCTTGTGGTCCTATTATATGTAAAGCCCTGAAGGTGGATGAGGAGAAGCTGGCTAGCTATAGTAACTGGCATTTTTGTTTACTAAGTGCTCTATAGACATTACCTCATTTATGATAACCGCAATTTTTTTTGAAGTTGCTAGGTGGCACAATGGATAAGGCACTGGGCCTGGAGTTGGAAAGATCTGAATTTTAAGTCCAACCTCAGATACTTACTGGCTGTGTGACCCTGAATAAGTCACTTAACCTCTCTTTGCCTCAGTTTCCTCACCTATAAAATAGGGATCATAGTAGCACATACCTCTCAGGGTTGTTATGAGGTTAAAATGAATTAATATCTATAAAGCACTTAGCACATTGCCTAGCACTTTGTAAGCTCTTAATAAATGCTTATTCCCTCCCCCCCTTTTCAGACGGAAAAGCTAAGGCTCAGAAGAGTCTAAGGAGTTTCCCAAGATCACATAGCTAATGAATATCAGAGGCAGATTTAAATCCAGCTCTTCCTAACTCCAAGTTCATTATTCTGTCCATTCTGTTCCCTTGATACTGGAGAATAGCCCTGTGCCTGAATGGAGAACCAGGCAAGTTGTATGCAATAGGAATGGCAGTGTGGCATTGCATTCCAGGTCTCTAATGGCCATTCCTTCCCCAAATCACCATTCCTTATCTCTGGATGTTGAAAAATCAATGACCCTTCTTGTCAGTGACCCCTGGGCTGGTGTCAAGGCCTGCCCCCAGGAGAAGAATCCTCTTGTTCGTGGCGCCTTGAAGATCTCTGGAAGGAACCGGAGCCGAGTCTTCGAAGAGAGTGGGACAGATAACCAGAGAAGAACACATGTTCAGTACTTTGTTGTTGTTTAGTCATGTCCGACTCTTAGTGACCTTATGGACTATAGTGTCCACCAGGTTTTCTTGGCAAAGATGCTGGAGTGATTTGCCATTTTCTTCTCCAATGGATTAAGGCAAAGAGAGGTGAAGTAGCTTGCCCAGGGTCACACAGCTAGTGAGTGTCTGAGGCTGGATTTGAACTCAGGTCTTCTTGACTACAGGCTCAGTGCTCTATCCACTGAGCCACCTAACTGCCTCCTATGTTCAGTGCTGACAGTGCAGAAACCAGCTATTTCCCTTGGTGAGAGTGGCGGTCAGTCCACTAGCCCCTCTGAAGAGTCCTTTATCCCAAAGATCTAGATTGTAGTTCCTCCTGAGTTAGCAACCATGGCAGGGTAGTAGTGGAAAGAACACTGGCTCTGGAGGAAGAGGACCCGAGTTCAAATCCTACCTTGGACAAGTCACCCCACTGTGTGCTGCCTCAACCATCAGGCAGGCCCTGGAGTCTTCCCACCTTCTCCAGACTGGCCAGCCATCCAGCGCCAATGACCCACCTTGGCTGCCCCCTCCCTCCCCCCGGTGATTATTTTTTTTATTAGGCAATTGGCGTTAAGTGACTTGCCCAGGGTCACACAGCTCGTAAGTGTCAAGTGTTTGGTCTAAGGCCAGATTTGAACTCAGGTCCTCCTGACTTCAGGGCCAGTGCTCTATCTACTGTGTCACTTAGCTGCCCCTCCCCCAATGATTTCTTCAACATTAGAGTGAACCCTGGGTCAGAGCTAGCTGACCAAGTTGAGGCTAAAAGGACAAATAGCTCCAATGTGATCTCTTTCTAACCAGCCAGGCCACAGGACTCTAATGATCCCTTTCTTAATCTTGGACAAGTCACACCACCAACCCCTGCCTTGACCATCAGGTAAGACCCAGAACTCATCATCTGCCTATCTCTTCCCTCTTTTCCCTTTTTCTCCCCACTTCTCCCTTCCTACCTCTTCTTAGGGATTGATAATCAAATCAACATTGCCACTGCTCCAGTGACATGGCTCCAGTGAGGGTCCCTGGAGTTCAGAGGCCAACTGCCTGGGCCAGAGGTCCTTTCCCTGGCCACCACTCTCTGCTTTCAAGGTCAATTCCACAATCCTTCCTGTGTCCCTATCCCACTCTATCCTGCCCTTCCATTTGGACCCTATTGTAGGGTCCAAAATTCTTCAATCTACAAGAAAAACCACTGAGGCAGGGCTCTGAGCCATTAATCATTTATTAAAGGAACCAGACCCTTTCAATGAATGGGACCTCAGATCTTCTTCACCATCTAAGATGGCCCCTTTCCCCAAGGCCTTACTTTTATCGGGCTTGACACCCAGACACTCAGAAGAGACAAAGTAAAATACAGGGTCTCATTGAATGATAGACCTTGCTTTTGACCCTCTGGGAAAGCCAGAAATGACGCATCAGCATGAGTGGTCACAGGATGGGCAAAGCAAGGGTCATCTCTGCTGACCAAGTGGTCCAAAGATGGTCCCCTCATGTTGGGCAAGAGGGGGTGGTCCAGAGGTATAGAAATAAGTTGGGGGACTTTCTATATCCCGTCAAGACATCCCACTTCTACTGGGTTTGGTGGTCAGCATTCTTGTGGTTAGGCAAGTGAACTTTATAGCTACTAAGTAAGTAGTAAAGAGTGAATTTATAGGTTTTATAGTTTGAGGCCTGTTATAAGAAAGAATCTATTTTACCTTGTCTAATTATTCCTATATCTAAGATACATAAAATACATATTGATGTATGGAATTCCTGTACTAGTCTGACTAAATGTATATTACTAGATGAGAATATTACTAACAATTGCTATCAATCATTACCCCGATGGAATCACACTGAACTGATTAATACTGATTGGAATAAAGTAGAGGTCCACTAAATCATTCCTCCCACTATGGACCTCCTGTTATGTGCCCTCCTCCAGGAAATTACTTTGTATGGTATATGTTTTATATGTGTGTTTCATTTCTCCCAGTAGAATGTGTCACCCATAGCCCAGGGAGTCCCTGGAATCTGGGCTTACGTGGATTGGGTTTGACTGACCCTAGCATCTCTTTGACTCATACCCCCTACCCCAGAGCTAAACTCCAGGGAAATCTGAATAAAGTTTACGTATGGCTTATGTTTCAGTTTACCCAAGTAACAGGTTCCCCAGCCAACTTTGGGATCGATTGTGTGACATGGGAGACACTGGTGCAGGACCACCCAGCATTGTGTGCCCTCAATCAGAGGTGCTACCCTCTATGAACAAAGCAGAATTGAAGTAGCTCAAAAGAAATTCGCGATGGGCAAATTTAGAGAATCCACCCCAAATGTTCACATGGACCATTTGTACCCAACTCATGGTGGGGCATTCTGAGCTCATATTGGTCTAATCAGCCATAGTCAGACACGCTGTAACTTGACTCTCACATAGTGATGTCATTTTGGTCCTCTTTGAGAATGAAGGAAAACTACCAGCCATAGTCGCTCTGTAGACAATATTAGTATCAGAAATGGGACAACCTTTAAAATTCATTGGCATCCAAAAACATGCAGAAACATAAAACAGTCCGATTAGCGATTATACTCACCAGACTTGGCCCCAGAAGGTGTAATGAGAAACTGCTGAACAAATACTGCCCAGTCACCTCAGACCTCTGTTTTTTTCTTTCTTTTTTCTCATGGCGAGGGTGGGGTAGGAGGGAGAAAATCCATTTTTGTTCATTAAAAAAATTCATTAAAAATGAATGCTTGTTAAATGGAATTGAACTGAACCTTTCTGGCCTCAGTTTCCTCATCTGTAAAATGAGAGGGTTCTACTAAATGATCTCCGCTATCTGATATCCTCTCAACCTCTTGGAGTTGATTTTTCATAAATATCGACTGTGAATTCAGAGAGCCGAGTCTCAATCCTTAGAGTTTGAATGAATTTCATGGGTTGGATTTTCAGGGCAGCAAGACCAGAATCTGTTTCTTGAGGGCCCTTTGTTAGAAGTAATGTCAGTGGGCCTTTCTGCAGAAATTTCCTGCAGCATCACTGGGGAGGGACTTTCCTGCCCTCCAGAAAGTGGCCTACACTTTCTGTTCTTCCTCCTGCCGCTGAGATTGAATGATGTTGCCCATTTCAGCCTTCCACTGTGGGGAACCCACCTCGTGGAAACCCATTAGATCATAAATAAGCTCCTTGAGAGCAGGGACAGTCTTTTGCCTTTCTTTGTGTCCACAGAGCATAACACAGTCCTTGGCACGCAGGAGGTGTTTGGTAAATGTTTATTGACTTTGTGATTTAGGTCGATTTCAGAGTATTGCCTTTCACTTTATCTCACACTCACATTGTAGCTGCTTTATGTATGTTTTGCATATACCTATATATTGTATGTGCATATAAGTTTTATGGCTGTGTGACCCTGGGTAAGTCACCTAACCTCTCAGTGCTCTAGACCCATGGTGTGAAACTCAAATAGAAATGGGGGTCACCAAACATCCATGCTGGCAGCATATTGACTCAAAATCACATATAAATATTATCTATGCTCTAATGTGTTTTTATTTATTTTGTTAGAATTTCCCAATTACATTTTAATCTGACTTCCCGTCCCCAACTCACTCCAGTGCTGCCCATTGAGGTGCTTGTTTGACGCCTCTGTTCTGGGCGGTCCTCTACAATTGTAAATTGCAGCTTCGGTAGAGAGAATGTTCTCGCTGGGAGTCCCCTCTACTCATAAAACCAGAGGTCTAGGCTCTAGCCATAACCTAAACATTTTTACATGCCTATGTATGTATGGAAAATAAAATGTAAGCTTCTTGAGGGCAGAGATTGTTACAATTCTTGCATTCATATCTCTGGTACCTAGCAGTATGCTTGGCACATGATGAGCTTAGACACACAGCTTACTCCGCAATGGATAGCATTTCTCAATCTGGAGGACCTCACTGTAGAACATATATTCTGCCCTGATTAACTGAGAAGTAGATTCTCCACCCACCCACCCTTTTGGTAAACACATTCAAGAAGATGTTCTTTCTTTGCTGAGACACTGTCTTAAAACAAGACACACACTAGTTAGATCTCTTGATTCTGCCTGGTAAGATAGGCTATTGAGGATGGCCAGGCATCCTGATCCCAGTATTGGGAACTGGGAGGAACTCCCAGCTCTCTGAGACTAGAGATAATCTAGTCTAACCCACATGGGGAAACTGAGACCCAGGGAGAGAAGAGAGCCACCCAAGGCAACACAGGTGACAAAGGGAGAACCCGGACCCAAGTTGTCTTTCCGCTCCACTCCACTGCCTTCCCCAGACCCCTACAAATCCCTAGTTGGGCAGAAGTAGGCTGCAGGGATCCTAGGGCCTAGGCAAGTTCTGAAATTGAAGGCAGTCAGAAGATGTGGTCTGACTAGGTCCTCTTGTTCCTTTACTGAATAGAAGCCAGAAACAATTGCACTCTGCCTTTTCCCATTCGCTGGGAGTGATGTTGCCAGGACAACCATCGCTTGCAAACATTCCATCTAGGATTCCTAGTCCAGTGTAACAGCTGCCGATTGAACTCAAGGGAGCCTCAACAGCTGCAGCTGGCCAGTGGGAAAGGGTTCCGGGCCAAGGACCTAGTTGGCCAGGTAGGCAGGGCTGGGGCTGGCCTCTCTCAGCCCAGGGGGCACCCTCTACATGCTTGGGTTTTTAGCCTTTCCCTCCTTCTTTATTGGCCGCTTTGGGCTCTGCTGGGGAGTGAAGAGGAGGGCCAGGAAGAGAGGGCTCAGGAGTGATTTGGATGGGGAGAGGTTGGTGGTTTGATTTTTTTTTTTGGTGGGGGGGGGATTGAAAAGTGGCCAAAACCCCATGGAAGAGATAGAAGAAGATACCTTCCCCCCTGAAGGGTGGGGGGGAGACTATGGATATGTAACACTGCATATAAATTCAGACCTTTTAAATTTTTTTTTTATTCTTTGTTAAAGGGACGGACCTTTAGAAAGATGAGGGACACATTGGGAAATGTAGATAATATAAAAACAAGAGATCACTAAAATTTTATTTATTGAACAAAATTGATCAAAAAGTTGAAGTCATCTGCCCTCATCCCCATCCCTACCTCCTCCTAGCTCCACCCCTGAACACTGTAGGTTCTATGTATACATGGTTCACCGTGGACAAAATCCAGTCACCTTATCCAGACTCTCTGCAATCTGGCCCCGGTTTTGGGAGGGTTTGGCCCAGCAGTGGGGGACCTGCAGCCTCAAGGCCACATGTGGCCTTCTAGGTCTTTGGGAGTGGCCTTTTGACTGAGTTTTACAGAACACATCCTTTTATTACGGGGATTTATTCTGTGAAGTTTGGATTCAGTCAGAGGGCCACACTTGAGGACCTAGAGGCCACATGTAGCCTCGAGCCTGAAGGTTCTCCACTCCTGGACTTTGGCCTGTGAGCTGTGGCTTGAGTTGATCCCTATGGAGTGGTCCAGACTTAGACATCTCCCCACCCAGCTCAGGCTTCCGCTCCCCCCAGCCTTGTTCGTTCCACCCATCCTGGCCTGGAGAGCTTTCTTTCTGACAGAGAAGCAGACTGGTCCTGTTTCATCCATCATCTGTTATGCTGACACCTTCTGCCCCAGCCAGTGAATGTCTCCTCATTGTCCTTGCTGAACTTACTTAAAAAGTCTTTTGTGTTGACCTCCGCATCTTTCACAAGCCTTAGTTTATTTAGACTAAAGCCTGAACTTTGCGACTATTTTTTTTGGTGAGGCAGTTGGGGTTAAGTGACTTGCCCAGGGTTACACAGCTAGTAACCTGACTATTCTTAAAAACAGGTCCAAGTTATGCTTTGATATTGGTCCTCAGTATTAGGCCCCTCTTTCCATCTTTCATCTGAGCTTATCTGAATCATCTGGGCAGGCACATTGAGTTTTTTTTTTTTAATCTTCAGCCCCACTTTCCCCGATCAGAACCATAGATTTGGAGCTAGATGGGACCCTAAGGGTCATCTAGGCCAACTGCTACATTTTACAGATGAGGAAACTGAGGCCTCGACTGGCCAAGTGACTTGCTCTAAGGCCACATAAGCAGTGATGCATAGAGCTAAGATTTAAGCCCTGGTCATCTGACTCCAAAATCAATTAACTTGCCCTCATAGCTTGCTGCGTCCCTTATCTGCAATTATATTGTCAGAATTTCAACCATTTTTGAGCCCACTCCCCTTTCAGAAACTCAGGCCAAAAACATCATGCCTGTTGCCCTCTCCTAAACTCTGAAATCCACTGGCCTAAAATTTAGGATGAATGTGTCACTGTGCCCAATATTTCCTTCCATGATTATCCCCAACTCCAAAGTGACAGTCACTTTCTCCCAAGGCTCCTGTCACTCTCACTAACCAGCTAGTTCCTCCTCACTGGTCAGCATTAGGTTCAGAGTAGGATCTTGGATCTAGAGCTGGGAGGAACATTAGAAACCATAAAGTCTGACTTTACTCCCTTTACAGATGAGGAAACAGGCCCAGGGAGGGGAACAGACTTGCTCAAGGTCACACCTAGGACCTTAGATGTAGAGCAGGAAGGGACCTCAGAGGCCATTTAGTCCAATCCCTTCATTTTACAGAAGAGGAAACTGAGGCCCAAGAGGGGAGGGGACTTCCCCAAGGTCACAGAGATAGTAACTAGCAGAGCTGGGATTTGAACTCAAGTCCTTGGACTCTTGCTTCGGAGCTCTTTCCACTGGACCATGTCTCTTCTTCCTGCTCATTGCTCCTTCCACCTTCTGAAAAATGAAATTGTCGGCAATTCCCAAAGTGATCCAGTTCTTTGTGGAGCAGAGAGGGAACCTTTTAGCCTTTCCCCCCTCACAAGTATGTCTTGCTTCTGTGCCAATTTGTGATCTGTATCATCCATTTCATTGTTCAACAAACCAATCACTGGATAAGCACTTAAGTACCTACTATGTGCTCAGCACTATGCTGAGGGGCTCGGGATACAGAGACAAAAATGAAACCACCCATGCCTCCTAGGAGTTTACCCAAGACAAATATGCACAGCTGAGTGTAAACAGAACATAGGGATCCCCATCCCTATCATTTCCTTGTAGAGGAAACTTCAGGTGAGGGAAATCCCTGTACCAATGCAGATGGGCACCGAGTTTACCTTAGTTTTAGGAAGCTGCCTCGATAAGTGAGGGATTAAATGACTTGCCCAGGGTCTCACAGCCAGTAGATATCAGAGACAGGCCTTGAAAGCAAGGGCTTCACAGCAGAATGGGGGTGTCAGGGCAATGAGGGGGTACAATGGAGAGATCACTGGACTTGGGGACAGGAAGACAAGTCAAAATTCAATTGTAGATACTTCCTACCTACATGACCCTGGGCAAGTCACTTAACCTCTGCCTCAGTTTTCTCAGCTGTAAAATGGGAAAACAGCACCTACCTCATAATGTTATCATGAGGATCAAATCATATCATATACACATATGTACATATATTATATATGCATATACACATGCATGCATGTATAATACATGCATGTGTTTGTGTTAGTCAACCTTAACATACACACAAATACATCATCTACATACACAAACACACATGCCTACATGTTAGGGTTAACTGACATACACATGTGTATACTGCTGTACACGTGTCTGTACATGTACACACGTTATACATGTATGGGTACATTTATGTGTATCTTTGGCAGCTAGGTCGGGCTGCAGTGGATATAGCAATGGGCCTGGAGTCAGGAAGACTGGAGTTCAAATCCCGCCTCAGATACTTCCTAGCTTGTGTGACCCTGGGCAAGTCATATAATAATCTGTCTGACTCAGTTTCTCCATCTGTAAAAATGAGGATAATAATAATACCTATGGAGGCAGCTAGGTGGCTCAGTGGATAGAGCACTGGACCTGGAGTTAGGATGACCTGAGTTCAAATCCAGCCTCAGATGAGTGACCCTTGGCAAGTCACTTAACCTCTGTTTGCCTTAATCCACTGGAAAAGGAAACGGCAAACCACTCTAGTATCTTTGTTTTTTGTTTTGCTTGTTTTTGCTAGGCAATGAGGTTAAGTGACTTGCCCAAGGTCACACAGCTAGTAAGTGTCAAGTGTCTGGTTTGAGGCCAGATTTGAATTCAGGTCTTCCTGACTCCAGGGCTGGTACTCTATCCACTGCGCCACCTAGCTGCCCCCACTCTAGTATCTTTGCCAAGAAAACTCCACGGGACATTATGGTCCATGGGAATCAGGAAGAGTCATGAACAATACCACTTATCTCCCAGGGTTGTTGAAGGATCAAATATTTGCAAAGTGCTTTGCAAACCTGAAAACACTACATAAAGCCTAGGTATTAGTCCTAGTTTAGAGCTACCCATTGCACCACACTGCCTTAAAAGGTTAGGTAAGATACATGGGCATATGTGGGGGGTGCCCCTAAAGGTGGACATTAAAAGATGGGGGTCAAGAAATCAGCTACCTCTCACCCAGTGCCACCATCTGGCTTTAGTGAGCCACCTTTTCAGGCTCCTGTGTTCCCATATATGTGTGTCCCTCCTCTATTTGCAGGATCATTCTGCTCCCTCTCCCAGAGCCAGAATTTTCGGGCCTGGGACAAATTCCCAGTGAGGAGACGGATTGGATTACAGTCTGGGGAGGCAGCTTCCCAGCTTTCTATTCCCAGGGCTTCCTGGGAGCTGAGCTTCTCTCCCTGTATGTGAACAGGAGGAAAAACAGGTCCCCCTGCTCCTATACCCAGACCTCCTCTCTGGGCATACCTTATCAAGAAGCCCCCAAAGGGCTCTTCAAGGTGAAAAGTAGTCAAAGGGGGATGGCATCTCCTCCTGACACTCATCCCCTGGCTGCGGGGGGATGCTGGGAGCTGTACATGGTCTACAAGTGTTTTAGCTTTCTGTCCACCCCCCCCCCCAGCTCCTTTTTCTGGGACCGACCTGTCAGAACCTTGTATCACCCTAGTTTCATCGCTGGTTCCCTTTCTTTGCTGTGTTTCTTTTGAATCATTATTCACTTTCCAATCATGCAAGCCCATCCTACCAAACAATACTCTTTTGTTCAAAAATCTCCATTTTACTTTATTAATCCACACTTTATGCATTGATACAGAGACAGTAGAGGCCTCCGTGTGTGTCCACCCTCTTTCTCTGTTACTTATATACTTATATTGGATGCTTTCTCTACTGTTGGGCTTTCTGTATCATACCTCCCTTGCAAGAAGGCCTCCCCTCCCGGCAGGGTGGTTAGAGCACTCAGCAAGATCTAGATTCAAGTTCCATTTCCCACCCTTCCTGGCTGTGTGACCCTGAGCAGTTTATCCAACATCTCAGGGCCATGGTTAAACTATGGAGCAGCTGCCAGTCTTGATAGATAGAGGGAGCTTTCTCACCAGAAATCCACTTCATGGCAGAAATCACCTGTCTTGTCCAAAATAACCACAGCACAGGTTTGCAAGTTTTCTCCTTCCATTTTCTGTTTAAAGCCCTCTCCGTCAGATTGGCAATCCTCCAAGCAAACATATTCTTTCAATCCCCATTCATTCTATCCTTAGCCAAGAGGACATTATTCTGGTAGATTGTAGCAATGGTTCAGAAAGCCAGCTCCAACTCACTCCACTTTCCATATTTTCCTTTCTAAG